TTATAGGCCGCCGTTATCTATAGTAACTACCAAGTATGGACTGGTGTTGATCAGATCATCCGCGCAAAGTACATCAATGCTGAAGGTGCACTTGTTGACGCAGGCGAAGGAGAGTTGACAGCCATTCGTGGTGGAGGCGGTTGTCTTGGTATTATTACTGAGATGACTATTAAAGTGTACTCTCTGAAGGAGGTACGTTTTATCTGGACTTACATAGAGTTGGGTCTGTGTCGCTGCTAACCTCAGTTAGATCCTTGAGGGGAGCTTCGTCTTCGAGTCCACCAAGAAACACGCAGCCTGGGCTTCTTTCATCGATGGATACAATAAACTCGCGGCGAGCGAAGAGATCCCAAACTGTCTCTCGATCCAACTCACCGGTGTCGCAATTCCCCACGCAGGCAACATCTTCACCATCTCTTGCGTCTGGGCCGATGAGGACCACGATGGAGGCCGTAAGTGGATGAAAAAGATTAGCGCCCTAGGTAATTGCGTCAGGGAAGTTATCAAGACAAACAGCTGGTCGGCCCACTGTGAAGAAAAAGAAAAGCTCGCTGGATACGGTGTATACGGCCGTGCTAGAACTCTCAACTTCAAGGATTTGACCCCTAAAACTGTTGAGATCTTTGCTAAGTACAACAAGTCAATCCCTGGTCCGGGATCTCTCTTCTCGATGCAGCTTCATCGAGACCCTGGGCATGGTCTCAACTCTGTGTTCTCACATCGCTGCGATCACTATTGGCTTGAGATCATCGCCACTTCTCGGGAAGAAGCAGGCGCTGAGGCGGCGAACGAGTGGGCCCACAGTCTGCAGAGAGACCTTGTTGAACATGACCCTGAGAATATACTTGACTCTGCCTACTGAGGGTTCGTGGATGATGGAGAGATGGATTTGAAGAGGAACTTTGGGGCGGGGTTCAAGAGTCTGATGGATGTTAAGCAAAGGGTTGACCCTGGGAACGTTTTTAAGAACACTGTTCCGCGACTTTAGGGACGCGGTAACTGGGCGAAGATGTTGAAGCAGGCATGGATGAGTATATGTTAGGCGAATGGATATCTAGCTGAGGTGGTCCAAAGCAAATCTACGCTAGTTCCTCACATAGGTATCGGGGCCCGAGCACTACACTTATCCATTAAATATCTTACGTCAATCGAAAGGGCTATCTACGCTATCACAATCCATAGCGACTTTCAAGAAACTCATGAGGCTGCCTATATGAACTCCACCTTCAACGCCAGTAATATACACGAGCTCAGAGGATAATAGCCTGAGCATTCAAATTCACAAACATTTGATTCCACGTCATGTCCTCTTCCAGCGCCCGTTTCCAAATATCCTCCAACACGGCAATGACAGAGTGAACTGAAGCAAATCGTATCTCATCATAAATAAATCCAGCTAGACCTCTCACAAGACGCTGTTGCTTGGGGCATTGTGAGTGCGCACCTGCTATGCATATGGGCAGTACAGCGCAGTTGAGAATTTTCGAGGGCTTTTGTATGCTAAAGATGCAGTCGAGGCAAGATTGGGTATGTTGCTGGACGAGGGCATGGTTTGCTGGTAGACCACAGACAGCTCGGTATAGATATATCAGTGCGGCGTGCTGGAAGATTCGAACGAGGCTGAATGCTTGTGCTGATTCGGTGTCGCATTCGTTTGACGGTGTATCAACGGGCGATGAACGAGGAGACGTCAAATCCTCAATAGCCAAGGAAGCATACGTCGGCCGAAGAGCTGCTTCAAAGATGCGTATCCTCTCAATCGAGAACTCTTCAATCATCCGTGTCATCGCATCAAGATAAAGCGCCATACTGGAAATTTGCTGAAAGACCGTTGATAGTGAACAATAACCTTGTGTATCTCGTCCCCACCAGACAGGTCCTCGGTCAACGACCTCCCAAATAGCCGGTGGAAATGAAGGTGGTTTTCCTGTAAGCATAGCGCTTGTGAGATCCGTCGTCGCAAATTCTGACAGCATCATGTGAAGCGGATCTTGGCCTGTGCCTAGTACGGCAGTCATGCCACCGAGTTGATTGACAATGGCCAACACCCCATCTCTGTGACTTGACGTCGATGCTGATGACTGCGCACATTCAAGAAATCCATCATGAAAGTAGAGCAACAGCACCGCAAACAATAACGTCTGCAAAGGTCCATCTTCTTTTGAGCAACATCCATCAACCTCTTCCCTTAGTGCAGCCAAACACTCCATCCTCTTGACATTCAAAATACTCCGACTATTCCTTCCATCCTGCAGCCACCGATGCGAATCAGCAAGAACACACGTCGCAAGCAGCACAACACGATGCTGCAGCGCTACAAAAGTCGGCGGCGCACAAGGCTTCGAGGCAGTCGTCAATAAAGGCCAGAACCGCCCGTGAAAGTAATCCAATGAGCGTTTCTCATAAACTGCTAGTGATGCAGCGAGTTGTTCATCGCGCGTGGTAACCTGATAAATCGCTGGTACGGTCACAGCAGGTCGTGTACTCCAGCGAATGAGGCGTTCGTTGTAATCGCATGCAGCACCGACTTTGGCGCAGCGCGAACAGGTTGGTTTTGCGAGATCGCATTTGATTCGGCGTTTCTTGCAGGGCCAGCATGAGCCTTCTACTACACGAACGCGAGCTTTTGGCATTGTCGATGAGTGTTTGATAGTTGCAGGGTCAAGTTGGTCGTTGGTATTAACATTGTTGAGATACGCCAAGGCCTGGAACAAGTCATGGGCCCAGCGATCCGGGCTCAGATAAGGGAGAGATTGCGCGGGGAACAAGGTGAAGGTCCGGCCAAGCCTCCGCAATTCAAGCCCCGCTTGAGAATGGGCAATCTAGTTGCTTGTTTGAGGTTAGTGTCTGATATCATTGCGAGTAATGGTTGGTCGATTGAGCGGGGTTAGTTACGCGTCTAAGTGCTGAAGGATTGGTCCGGCTTTAGAACGGCCGAGTCAGAATAGGGCCTAGGGTAACCAAGAACAATATCAACTTAGGGGAATGGATGTTGGTAACAGTGGAAAGCTTGGAGAATGGTAAAAGACAGGGGCTAGGTATATGTAAAAGATTCAATGTCTCACAGAAGGCCAAGTTAAATGCTAATTTACTAACTCTTTACTTTCAAGTTCTTCATAAGCTAACACGACAACTGTTAACTAGCCTTTAGAAACACTTACATAACATTCTCTCGGTAGAGATGGATTATATAAATGGTTCTAGCTGAGTGACATTGCGATTATAATCTATTTTAATTGTAGAAAGACTAATTCAAGAAATAATAACTTAGTTACTTGGTCTGCCTTCTAAGCAGCAACGGGACAAGGGGGTTCTTATTGTTATATATTTATAAAGTATTTAATATGAGAGTATTAGTCCGCTAGGGGACTTGCTCTGAAATCATTAGATGCACCGTCCAAATCTCTGATCCTGGTGCTTGCAGAACCTCCGGTATACATAGGAGTTTCTTAGAGGCCCAGGTGACTCAAAAAGCGGCCGCGTTGGCAATGACTGATGTGCATACTCCAGTAGTTGGAGAGAATCATGACTACCTTGGCAAATACACGTGATTGCAAGCCGTACCCGTAGTTCCCTCGCACTACAGCTCGTATACTGTATATGCTGAGAAGTCGCAAAAGTCCTGACATCATGTTAGTCCCATTGGCAGTTCTTCTTTCACATAATACAAGTAAGCCGCAGCCCCTAGTAGCTTCACCTGACAATGAGCAAATCATTACCCTATCATCAAAACGGAAGAGGGGTTGGGTTGAGTATGGGTGTGTATCAGGAAGGTGTTAGGTGATATATGTCGATGGACGCACATGAGTGGCACAGAATGGGGTTATCACATATTCGGGTCAGCGGAGCAGGAGTCCTGCGGGCCGAGCCGTCAGGAATCGGCATTATCATGGAAGCAGCTGCATGCCTCACAAAACTTTAGATGATATGAACTTATGACGGCGAGAAGAAGATTGAAGTTCGTACAGCCTGCTTAGTAGCTCTAGTGATGATCTCCAGAGCCGAAGGCCCGTGTAGAGTCTTTCTGAGAGACCAAGGTTGATAAGCCGCAGCGTTGCATCGCCAATTGCTTCCCACAGTATCTCTTCGCTGTCCAACACATACATGATGCGGGTACTGCACCACTACATGATGTGATTATTAGCAAGGCTTTGATTGGCCACGAGCCGAAGTAATTTGTCCGTGTTTGTGAAATTCACGCAAAAGAACCCACGGAAACAAGTCCCCTGCATCGATCCAGTCATATTCAAGAGCACAGTACAGGCTCTAGGACGTTCACAAGCCGCTGTCATTTCCGTGTAGGAGAGCTCCGTATGATAGGTGCCCAGCCGCTCCAACCCACTGCCGAGGATAGTACTATCTACTCCTCAACCACCTTGGTTCATCCTTGCAACTCACCAGTGATAGCCGGTACTTAATGCACCAAGCATCAGAATTGAGCAAGACTGCGACCCTCTATGTTATGTATGACTCACCTTATTAGGTATGCTAAGGAAGATCAAGACGTGGCTGATACCCTCCCAAGCCTCATGCAGAGATATGGCAAGGACGTGCTCTCGTCGAGGGATGGCACACGTGAGGTTTGGCATAATCCGCCCTAAAGCAACGTGACATAGAATTGCTTTTGGCTCAGAGGCATAGCTGTATATCTACAGATGCCCTCTCACGGTCAAGCGACTTTGAACTAATCCCAACGTTTCCCTGTTTAACGTGGATCCTTCAATCTCACTAGGCTATCCAGAGCAAACAAACTTCGCCATGCTCTCTGCAGTCTTGATCCTCATGGGCGTTGCCCTCACAATACTCTACATTCGCACCAAACCCCGCAAGAATCTCCCTCCTGGTCCCAAGCCCCTCCCCATTCTTGGCAACGTCAAAGACATGCCAGATGGGACCATCCCAGAATACCAACACTGGATCAAGTTCAAGGACCTCTACGGCTCAATCAGCCATGTCTCAATTCTCGGACAATCCCTCATCATACTCCACGACCGCGACGCTGCAAACGCTATTCTAGAGAAGACCTCAACCAAGACATCCGGGCGGCCACAGTTTGTCTTTGGCAATGAAATGTGCGGGTATAACCAGATTCTCAGCTTCAAGCCATATGGTAAACTGTTGAAACAGCATCGAAAATTGGTCCATCAGCAATTGGGTACTAAAACAGCGGCATCACGGTTTCGGGACATTCTAGACTTGGAGTCACGCCGACTTCTGTTGCGGATCTTGGAAAGCCCTGACAAGTTGTTCGAACATATCAAAACGTGAGTAACCATACTTATTATACATAGTCTGCTGCTGACTTCCTCGTTCCAGCGAAGCAAGCGCTATAATCCTCAAGATGACATACGGCTACAACCTCGAGCCGCACAAACTAGATCCACTGGCGCTCTTGATAGAGCAGATGATGCATAACTTCTCACTCGCATTCGTCCCCATGAGCTGGCCGGTTGATGTCCTCCCTATCCTTCGCTACCTGCCAGAATCACTTCCGGGAATGTCCTTTAAGCGTATAGCGCGAGACTGGAACGCCAATATGCGCATGGTAGTCGATGTGCCCTACACCTTTGTCAAAAAGCAGATTGCAAAGCAATCTAATCGCCCATCATATGTCTCTTCGCTTATAAAGCAACATGATGGAGATTTGGATGAGGAGACTGATGCGGCTATTAAGCAAACCGCCGCTGTCATGTACGCTGGAGGCGCTGATACAACAGTGTCATCCATCCGTGGTTTTGTGCTGGCTATGTTGCTGTTCCCAGATGTTCAGAGGAAGGCGCAGCAAGAGATTGATTCCGTTGTTGGGAACGAAAGACTTCCACAGTTTGAAGATCGTGATAATCTTCCTTACGTCGACGCCTTGGTCAAGGAATCACTTCGATGGATTCCGGTGACCCCAATGGGAGTCGTTCATACAGCCGATGAGGATATTCACTATAAAGACTTTGTCATCCCCAAGGGAGCGTCCTTCTTGCCAGCGACATGGTGGTTCCTCCACGATCCGGCGATCTATACAGACCCATCTTCCTTTGATCCGGATAGATACCTGGAACCACGAAATGAACCGCATCCCAATTTTGCCTCATTCGGGTTCGGCCGCAGAGTCTGTCCCGGGAGATTCCTCGCTGATGAGAGTCTGTTTATCAGTATTTCTCGTCTCCTCGCTGCTTTTGAGATAAAGAAGGCTTTTGATGGACGGGGTAATGAGATTGAACCTCAGATAAGTGTCACACCAGGCATGATTTCTCATATTCGTGACTTTCCTTATGACATCAAGCCGAGGAGTGAGAAGTATGCGGCTATGATGAGACAGGTTGAGGTTGATCATCCATGGGAGCAAGCTGATGCTGCGTTTTTGAGCATGGATGCGTCTCTGGAGTCGGAAAAGGTTTGAGGGGACTTTGTTGAAACGAAGAAACAGTATGGCGACCACAAGAAAGGTCTCGAGCAGTGGGGAAAGAGCCAGGTCTAAGGAGAAATAAGTCGATAACATCCATTTTTCGTAGCAACTCTACACATAACAAGAATGCAGATAATAACAACGGATAATATTGGTAGTAGATCATAAATATGTTCTCGTGAGTTTTACTATGTACGGGTATTCAAAATAAGTCTCTGACTCTTAGTCAAGACGAGGCAGCTCGCCCTTCGCCTGTGCTTCTTCAACAGCCTTGTTGTAAATCTCAACCTTCTCCTCATACTCCTTAACAAGATCCTCATCTCTCTTGCCGGGAGTGGCATCACCACCACCAAAAGCACGAACAGCAGCGTAATAAACATCAGCCAAAGCACGGCATGCACCAGCAGCGCTTGACGAGGTACATTGGTAGTACAAACTATTCACAATTAGCCCCATCTCTTCCTCTACTGAAAGAGGAACTCACTCAGTCTTGAAGTTACTATCGATACGAGCCTTGTTGCTAACAGTGAAACGGCTCTGGATGCGATAGTTGTTGTATCCAAAGTCATGACGGTTGCAAGCAGGCACGAAGGGGAAACCGAAAGGGTTGTCGGGGGATGAGGTGCAGCCATCGGAAGTCCAGTCGAGGGTGGGGGGATCACGGGCGTTGCGACGGGCGGTGAATGTTGGGAGAGTGACGCTGAAGAGTAGTTGATCCGTCACGGTGTTTGCGCTCTGGCGCTTAGAGACAGCGGCATCTTCGCCGGTGGGGAGGGCGAAGACGGTTGGGATGAGAGTGAGGAGAGAGGCGCTGAACTTCATTTCGATGGCTGGCTGATGACTGCACTGATACAAGAAACCTTAAAGTTAGGGCGATGTATTGAAGTATTTATACACATCCATGATCTCGCGCCCATCAACATTCTCATCCGAACAAGAGATTCTCCGAAGTTAACGTTAAAAGTAGTAGTACACCTCCGATCATCGCATGCCGAGACTAGGAGCTACCTTCCTAAAGTGGCAATGATCTCTGCTCCGAAGGTCACGCTCTACAGATGAGATAAATCATTCGCTCTGCCCGCCAAGACCGGTAGTGCCTATTATATGCCGACCTGCTTGTTTAAGCTCCAAGGACCTGGATCTGCATAGATCGTGGTGGCATCGACAACGTGTATTGGTGCGGGGTTGCACGATGCTAAAACCGCTCGGTTTCCTAAACCAGGAACAACCTCCGGCACGACGAATGACATTGTTGAATTGAAGAGTGAAAACCAAGGAACCAAAGAAAGTATATGATTGAGCTTCCTTTTTGAAATACTTATGCTAGGGAGAGTGCGTTTGGCATGTGAAGTGCGAGGCTACTGCTTGTCGTTTTCCGCGTATATAAAATTCGCAGCTAGATATTGTTAACCTCGGTGAGCGAGATGGGAATTAGATCCTCCTTACCGATGGGAATAAGACCATTCTCATGCGCCCATTCACGAACGCCATGGCCTGCATGATCCGATCCCCAGTGCTTCCTCTCCTCTGGTTTGCTCAGGTGTAGCTTCTTGGTTGTGCCATTGGCTGCGATGAAGGTGAAGAAGACATAGCGGTGCTTTCCGGTCTTGGGCGGTGGAGCAGGAGGTTTGTATTTGATGATGTCCTTGAGGTGGTGTTTGGACTTGGATCTTGTTGAGTATTTCAGGTGGGAGCTTACTGCGATCCAGTGGCAGAATTCGGACCATTTGGGATCATCGCGAGATGGCGCGTCGGGATCGGTGAGGACGATGACGTACGACACGTCTTTGGAGAGTTGAGTGCCTGCAAGCGCCTCGGACTCAACTTTGTCAAGATGGATTACGGGAGATTTTTTGAGATGATCGGGTTTGAGGGTGTTGCCCAGGCCTGCAGAGTCGTGCTTCCATTTGACACGAAGGCTAAGAGCGGGCGGGAAGTCATCAATCACGGTGGGAATGATCTGAGCCTCGAGCAGTCTATGCGGGTTAGTAAACGACATCGATTCAGGTGAGAATGACAGCACTTCTCTCGGATATGGTCCAGGTCTGTGTTGTCGGAACCAAGCACGCGCTGCCCTTCGCTTGCGACGAGCCCGACATAGGCGACGAGGAGAAGAGGGAGCTGCCACAGCATTGCGACGAGCATTTCGATGATTCAATTGCCAATTGATGAGATGAACTGATGAAGTATGGGATGGAATCAATTGAGTTGAAGAAGAAAAGGTTTGCCGTTGATGGTCCTTCCCCGCAATCGACGTCGAGGTTATCAAGCGATACGTCATGATGTAACGGCTACCTACCTCTGACGTGAGTGGAAAGTCAGATCAGTTATCTCGGACGGCTTCAACGACTCAGCAAGCTATTAATCAAAATATCTCAATTGTTTGAACAACTGTGAGTTCAACTGCTGCCGGCAAATTTACTCAATTGACATAAGGTAAATAGCAAAAACTGGTCTAGCAAGTCAATCCATTACTGGCCATGATAAACGTCGAACATAGCTATACTCTGAGTAGCTTGTCTCTACAAGTTTCGGGTTTCTCAACTGTGAAATGGGAAATTCTGGATAATTAAATTTGAGAATACTTTGAACATGCAATATTAAAGCATATATACATAAATGGAGATACTTTTAGTCACGGAAACGGACGCAAAACACGCTTCAGTTTCAGACCTATGAGCCGAATTATCACAAACATCGACAACAAGAAGAACACTAACGACCTTTGAAAATGCATCTTGATCACAAGATCCCATGGCACCTGATTGCTCCCCATTTCTCTCTCACTCCTGCCGAACAAGAAGGCAACTATAGCCTAGCTACGCTGGAATTGCCTGAGCAGCAAGCGGTTATCGGCCACTTTAGTCGCATGTTCCTGACAACAATCAGAGAATTCTCCGCCACAGAGACCACAAAGATTGACTCAGCACCAGTCAGTGGAAAACTGTTTTCCGATAATGTTCTCTATTACGCTGAGCGGCACTTTGGTCTTGAGCCTCATGAGGATAACTCCGCACTACATAACCCGCTGAAGCCGTCGCATCAAGATCTCGAATATTGGAAACGCCGAGCGAAAGATCCCGAAAGCGACTATGAGCCTTGCTATACCACCGCCGATGCCAACCTGGCCGACGCAGCCAAGATGCTAGTCATTGTCGCTGCTACAGCTGACAACAAGACCACCCGGCGTGAGGCGTTATCAGCGCTTGTCCGCCTTGCCAAAGAGGTGCCTTTATCAAACCTACGAGGTCTCCATTGGGGTCACGCCTTCGGACTCGATCTCGTCGTAAGCGTGGCGCTGCAGATGTACATATACCTAAACCTCATTGAAGCTGTCGAGTCTCGGGCAGCTGAACGAGTGCCGTTGCTATCAGTTGACAATTTTCTGACATTTTTGAGTAACCATGCCCTTGAGAATTATGATTTCCCCGCGCAGAATATTCCGCATCGAGACTTTTGGTTTTCTCTTGGGGTTACTGAGTCGTGGGTTGCTGGCCGGCGCAACGGCACTCTTGAAAGGGACATGCCGGTTATCGACCCGTTGGCAGATGGATCGGATGAAGTTCAGCAGAAGGCGAGAGAGGGATTGAGGAAGTACTTGAAGGACTGTTTTGCGATTTTGTATGTTTATGATGTGGTTTTGAGAAATATGGTTAGGACAGAGAGGGCGGATGAGCATTGGGAGTACGAGCTTAATTGGGTATTTACGTGGATATAAATTAAGGTCTTACAAGTCAGATACTCTAGACTCTAGAGGTAGCTCTATTGTGACACAGATGTGTATTTACGTTTGAGGCCTGCGACTTAGAGTTTATTATCACTATACAGTATATACCTAACTTAGACCACCGGACTACTATGCTTCCCCAGCCGACCGTATGCTTTGGCCCTTCTTCTGCCCCCTCTGCGTCATTTCTGTGCCTCTGAAATTATGATTCCAGTGTGTCATATCCCCTAGACGGTCCAAAGGGCACACATTATATCGGTAGGGGTTTTGGGCCAATTGGGTGATTTTCCAACGCCAATGATCGTGATAAAACTGGGGGAACAGATATACTTATATTATCTGTATTATCAGCTGTAGAGGAAGTACCAGTTGTTAGTAAGCTACACATTGAAACCTCATAGAAGTCCTAGTGATAAGGGTGTTATCAGTAGATGTGATGTCACAGGCAAGAGTCGGTCTCTTTTGGGGACGATACAAAATTGTGCCCTTCGGACCGTCTAGGGGATGATATTTGCATGGAGTCGGTGTCCACAAGAGGACAATGCACAGTGACGTGTCACCAGGCTTGGCCTACAGCGCAGGTTGAAAATGAGGCTGGAGGTGCATTGTAGACAGCGATTACTTTTCCTGATTCGTCTCTATACAGGCTGTTAGTGGATAGTTGACCAATCACATAGATCTTTCCCAACGAGACTTTCTTCCGTTGGGCACCAATTTCGTCTCGGATATTTTCAGAAGGGGTATATCCTCGAGATTTCCAACTGGCGACCTCACACAACACATAACAAGTCATACATTTGCAGCTTCTCACTTTCAGCAATGGATGCTATATCGCAGGGGGAAATGATGCACGAGGAGAAATTATGCGATAAGTGTCTTGCAATACCCTGGAATCTCCTAAACTGTTCTGACGGCGGGAGTTTTGATCATCATGAAACTTTTGGTGAACTAGAGACGTCATGTGAGATTGGTTGCCCGCTATGTCAAACCCTTTTCGTACTTCAGGTTTACGTTGATCCTCCAGGCAGAAAGAAGTCGGATCCGTTGCATTGGTGGTTCGAACAGAACTTGGCAGGCCTCTGGTTTCTCTCAACTGATGTTGAGGCAAGGGATTCGTGGTGCATAAAAGTTGATCCTGATCATATCCATCGTAATATGCAGCCATCCCACTCAATTTCAATGGTGAAAAGTAACTAATAACAGAACGCCGTCCCTCAGAGATTATAATACTAACACTACCACATAGAACTTTCATCATCGACCTTGGACGGAGACTTGAGAGCCTTGGCTCATGACAGCATTAATCCTTGGATTGAGGCCTGTATGTGCTCAGGAAAGCATACCAGGTGTCCTGGCACCGCACCAAACAAAGTGGAATCCTACAAATTGCCAACTCGCCTTATAGACGTTGGGAGCGAAGGTGACACTGCTGTTCGACTTGTCAATACTGGAGATCTATCAGAAGACAATAGAAAGTCGCTATACACAATATTGAGCTATCGATGGGGATCGTCAAATGATTCAGCTCGAACCACAAGTCAGAACCTACGAGAAAGACTCAGTGTCATAAAGCCGCACAGCTTGCCGAAGACAATCAGGGATGCAATCATACTTACCCAGTTGATGAAGATTCGGTATCTTTGGGTTGATGCCCTCTGTATCCTCCAATCTGATAGAGATGTCGGTGATGGAAAGGACGAGGAGGCAAATCTCGACTGGGTAAGGGAGTCGGCATGCATGGCATCATACTACGCCAACTCTGTTTGTTGCATCGCCGCCTCAAACGCAAAAGATAGCTCTGAGGGAATACTATCTGAAAGGCGAATAGCACGATATGGGAAGTGGTACAACCCACCGAATGTCTTCATACAGTCTCCTTACACTTCTCGACGAAGGGTTCCGAGTTTGCTACTCGATCGAGGATGGTGTCTCCAAGAATGGCTCATTTCACCTCGTGTTATGCACTGGACGACTCATGGTCTGGTCTGGGAATGCTCGGAAGGATTCTTCTGGGAGGGCGAAGCAGGATTCAAAAGAGAGCTCCGAGAATCTTTCCCAGACGATCCGCATTATTGGTATCATCGCGAAAGAAGTCACTCTCTGTTTATGACTGTCTTGACGGAGGATCACGAGCAATTGTTAGCTCTTATGGTACGTTCTGAAGAACGGGTGGATTTGGGACAGTGCTGGATGGCATTAATCACACAGTACTCCCATATGCATCTATCATTTTCCAGTGACAAACTGGCAGCCATTCAAGGGATTGCAAGCCTTTTATCACGGCGTCACGGCGTCGATTATTTCGCAGGTATTTTCCGATTGCCAGTTATGATTCACTTGTTCTGGAGGCCTGTTGACCCACAGAGCTCGTCGTTTGACTGTGAAAACTTTCCCTCATGGTCATGGATGTCGTCAAATGGAGGGGTTTACTTCGAGATGACTAGCACTGACTCAAGTGGATCGTTCTTGGAGAAGTTTAAACCATTTCCCTCGACGCAGCATGAAAAGGATCTTGTTCGTATAACAAACAAGGCACTTCGATTCACAGCCCCATTGATGAAGATTGATGGTATGGACCTGGGTGAGCCAAAGAACCCACAGCCAGAGCGCCATGTGGGACCTGGGGCACCTCTTCTGCAAGGATGGCATTTAGTCATTGATCTGGACAGTGTGGCATCTTCTGCCTCTTTGAAGAGCGACGGATACTTGCTATTTGTTTCTCACGATTTACTTGCCGAAAGCTGCTATGGGCTTGTTGTACAGATGGTCGAGGGAGATGGCAGAAGGAATGGTTACCAAGATCTCCCACTACCATCCAGCCAACCGAGGCTCCTGGCTATGCTACCTACTGCGACTCTCTCGAGGAATACTACGCGGCTTGCTCGGAGGCTGGGATCACTGCGTTCACGAGTACTCTTTGATCGCAAGAAGTCTTATCAGAGAATCGGCGTTTTCTCAGCAACAAGAACTGAGGGCTGTCAACAGGAGCAACCAGATATAAAGAAATACGCAAGGCAGATTGTCTTAGTTTAGTGGTCATCTCCAGCGGTTTAAAAGCTTTCAGGAAACATAAACTCAGGTGACCTAAGATCTCACTCCAAATGACCCTGGACTAGTTGCGGCCCCGTGGTTGCCAGTCAACTGGCGTCATTCGTCCTGAAGGGGCAGGACACTGATAAGGCCAAGAGTAAGCTGATCTTGTACGTCACTGGAAGAGCCTCATCTGCCAAGAGATATAAGCAGAGAAGTAAAAGGTTTATAAGATTGTGAACTTTATACCGCAAAACCTGGTCGCTGTGTTTGGATCGGTCTGTGGACTCAGGACCTGTAAAAATGTAGAAATATAGTTGCCTAGACATAAGGATTGATTTTGGATCGGGTAATGCATAAAACACATATACATAATCGTTTATTATTACCTTTAAGCAAGTAGGGCTAAGCTTGTGTATTAAGACTTGAAAATAGTGATTGAAATAGGGTTAGCATACCACAAATCGACTAAAACTAGGTATACAGACTGTAGAGACGCTATGGCCAGGTGTAAGCGGATTTTGCGAAAAGTACTGAGCAGGCCTAGAACATTCCCAGCAAGTATTGCTCGAGAGAATCCAGATACGCTCGCGATCTGTTCCTTCTTGAGCCTGGACAAAGATTGTGACTATTGCCAACCTTGCTAGCCAAGAGCCTTGAGCTCTTATGATACAATCGCCAGGAGGAGGATCGAGAACATCATCCCAGGTTTCTAAAGATGAAACACCTATAAATCTGTGACCGGGATGATTTCCGCAACAACTCGTTTCCGGCCTGTGAGAAACAAGATGGCTAGCGAGACATCTTAACACGTCAACGTCGCCGATCCAACGCCCCGCGTCGTATACAGAGATGACAGATTCCAGTAAGAAAACCTGACTGTCCTGCTCCTGTACATCGCCAGACTGAACAAGTGGGACATAATATTCGGTAAAGGAGAGGTGCATGGAAGTTTTGGGGAAATAATTCTCCGACTTTCCGTCAAACTCCGACGAAGTCATCACCCGCCAAGATGTCTCCTCTAGTTCCATGATCATCGGTGATTTAGGTGGAATGAGAAGCGTGAGGCCAGATCGCCCTATGTTACCGGTAAATCTCTTGAGTTCATGGTCTTTAGGAGAATACCAAGGATCGCAAGCGAGCTGATGCGGATTGTTAGTAAAGCGCAGCAGTAGTGTTTTGGTTGTTTTCATGCCTTCATGGAGAAGTAGATACTTTCTTCGAAAGCGAGAGCGAACGCTCGCTCTAAATTTTCTGGCTCCAAGTCAAATCCACCTTCCAAATATGCCACACACGATAGTGAATTACTGAGTCTCAGACTGTGATCTCGGTCTGCCCTCTTGTCTAGCAGAGACTTGACCCACTTGGCTTGATATAAAGGTGATTCTAAAGAACGAGTAGATATGGCCGCGTCCGGGAGCGTTTGATAAACCTTGTGAGCTATGGTCAGTGCTCTCAAGGCCATACTTGCAGGTGCCGGGTCATCATGGAAAATATGAATCAACTTTTCTGTATCACAGAAATCTGACTCCAAGCACCATATTATGTCTTCTATAATTAAAGATCTTATGGCGGGGCGAAGTATTTCGTTTCGTGCACGGCGTTCAATTGCTGTCTCCTGCATGTAAATGGCGGCACTGCGTTCTAAACCACAAACAAAATGAAAGTCCTGGATAACTACCTCTCCGGTCGGACCTGTCGCTGTCATAGCGATTGCTTTGCCCATCGAACTGAGGTGGCGGCAGTCGAGGTCGGTCATCTCGGTGACCACTTCTCCCAGATATTGATATTTCCCCATATATGATATGGGAACCCATTGGCCATGTGTTGATGAGAGACCGTCGGGGTTACGGCGAGCTTGTGCACTGGCAAACGCGCAATACCGTTCCAGTCCAGTTGGAGTAACCGATATCATGTCGTCGTCAAAGTAGCGGATAATGAATGCATCAGGATCATAGTCACTGGAGAGAGCTAGCCGGCGAAGCAGGGCAACTCTTTCCATTGGGCCTTTGAGTTTACTCAGAAGATCTCCCACATCGCCAAGTCCAAGGAACGGCCTCAGTCCCGTGGATGGAATGAACTTAGAAGCGCGTCTGTTGCCGAGGGCAAAGAGCTTGTGGATGATATCATCTGGGAAAGGCTGCGCGTCCAGGTAGGCGGCTCCTAGTTTTGAGAGGATGTTGATAGCGGAAGATGGATCTCGTAGCCTTGTGGCCACGATCTCAGACGTATCAGCAGACATCTGTCGTTCTATTGTCCTTTTCATCGCAACAAATATACGAGACGCGTATTGTGCCAAAGGTCCCGTGAGATTCCAATGTCCCAGGAGAGAACCGTACACCGCTTGGGTGAACTGGTCAAATGATAGCTTGCGAGACTCTGTGTCAAACCTAGCCTTCCTGGAGATGGGGCGACCGTAAAAGTTCAGATACGCCAGCGACAAGGACCAGAAAACACCATGGGCGTCACCTTTGAGTGGACGAGCGAGCCCCAATGTCAGGAACCCACCGGGCTTGACAAGCGGATCTGAGAACTGGAGAGGTGGCTTATCTGACCCTCCGACAGTGATATCAGGATACAGGTGCCAGGCGCTCAGGGCAAGAAGGCATGAGCCTTCGTTGACTGCCTGGGGCATGCCCCCAACAAGCCTTTCCATGGTCTCCGCGGCTGACTTCCAAGCTGCTATGACACTTGAGTAGACTGTGTCATGACTGATGGGCAAGTTTACTTCGTCAAGAAGCATCATCAGCTTATCTTGGCGCTCTTGGTTGAACCGGTCTGCTGTTCGGAGCCAAGAGCGGACACTTGCGTCCCACTCAGCTAGGCTAGCGCGAGATATGTCTGACTGAGCTGCGGCAGCAACTGTGGCGAATCGAAGAGGCTCATCATCGTTCCACAATCCTTCGATCTGTTTCCTCCTTTCCTTGATAAGCTCAAACCATATTGATGTCGCCTCCGAAGCTGACCAGAGACGAGCCAGCATACAGGCCAGAAGCTGCACATGCAAAGCCGTTGCAGATGATGTTGCTGCAGCCCAGATAGAAGTACCATCTGCCCCAGCATGCGCTGCAAAGATGCTCTCCTCTATCTCAGGTGGGCTTTGTTGTTGGGCCGCTTGAGCGACCTTAGACACCCGTGTACCATATGACTTGACAAGAGCAGGTGTTGGTTGAATTATGCCCTCGAAAAGCGCACCAAGCCTGCGAGCAGTGATATGCGCTGTCCCCCCTTCTGCATTCTCCTTCCTAGTTTGGGACAGGGCACTGCCTAGGGGTTCGAATTCTTTCGGCACTTCACATCTAACTAGCGTGAAGTCAAAATTGATGTTCGCCGCTGCAAGCGTCAACTCGTTTGTTGCAGAAGCCAGCGCGGCTTGAAGCCTGCCAAAGGATGGCATAGCTGCTGCTTCAGAGTCAGGAACAATCGAGAACAATACCTGGTATAGAGGATAAATAAATTGAAAGAGGACGACAATAGCAGCGCATTGATGCCTAAATATGAGCCCAAATCAGGCTGAGCAAGTCTCAGTATAGATGCCTCAGGCGCTATTTATATGCAAGTCAGCTCCGCATAACGAGCCTATCAAAACTTTGGTTCATGTTACATTTTTCAACCACCGGATTGAGTATGCCTCTCAGGTCAGCAACGCAGATTCACAGGTTGTTGTGGTTGTGAAAGGGCTATGCCAGTAAATTACAATTTCCTGTCCGCAGATTCAGCTAAAGCAAGTCCAATGTGCTCAGCTGATGAAATATTCCATTTACGAACTCTTGCAGGGATCTTGGGTCTTTATTGAAAAGTACAACTGAATAGACCATGGCCGGTTCTTAATTGGTCTAATGGTATGAGGGAACAGGATAGGCCTTGCTCTAGTCCACTGGGACGAGTAAATTCTGCCATACTTTCCCGGTAGCTTGTGCTAACCCTGGAAAGTCGAGTTAGGGCAGACAGTTCTATAGAGTATCAAGTGCCTAATTTCTATATTTCTTTATGTAAATGCCAATGCCGCTAAGCGCTAACATCACCTATCCACCAGCTCACTACTCATCTCGCGCCATCCGTCCTGAAGGGGCAGGGGCCAAGAGTAAGCTGACCCTGGACGTCACTCCAAGAGCCTCATCTGCCAAGAGATATAAGCAGATCGCAATGGCAAACTATGTAACTTCATACCAGGTACCAAATGGCAACAACTCGGCCTTTTTAAGGGTCTCATGTAAGGGCCTCAATTCCAGCCAATATTAACACGGCAATCGCTTCGGCGGCATTACTATTAGAGTTCAATCTACCGATTTCCATGTAGGGAACGTTTGTCTTGCGGTGAAGGGATAGGATATAACGTTCAAGCTTCGCCAGGAAAAGCGGCACATCGAATTAAAATTCTGCAGTCGTATCTGCAGGTATGACCCGATACCGGTGAAACACCCTGCAAGCGAAACTCAATTTCATTTGCCGAAACTCTCACCACAATCTCACCTCACGACACCTTCAAAACATCCTCATCCCCGACCATCAGCCTCACAACCTCACTACCCCAGATTTTCTCCATCCTCAGCACCGAATTGTACGGAACCGCCAATGGAAGGATCTCCCGGAGCCGATTCCGCTAAAGTAGGGACCGTAGTCGGAGCCGCTCGACAAAGTGCGGGGCTTCAAGCGGGGGAGGGGCCATAGTTGGCGGGCAACGAAAGGAAACGTGGGGAAGCACAGCAGGTAGAGTTTGACAGGAATAGTCCAATTGCAGAAGGGAAATGTAACGTCGATCAGCGGGCTTGGAAACTGTCGGCTTGTGTTTGGTTATGCATGTTTCACTTGAGGCTGCCTTACTTAAACCCAACCATCTTCCCCTCCTCGTCCACTCCATCATCAACATTCTCTCTCTCTCATTCTCAACCCTCTCCAGTTCAACAATCACACTTATAGTTCGCTATAGCATTCAAAATGGGCGACGTTATTCCTCAGAGCATCCCCCGGACTTCCCGAGCATGGGCAGTCCCCGGCTCAACAAACATCGCCCTCGCAAAGTTCCCCTCCGCAACCAAAAAACCCTCCTCCTCAAACCCCCAAAAAATCGCCACATCCCTCGTAACCGCCTTCAACACAGCCCTCAAGAACAAAGACCTCACAGCTCTCGCCCGTCTATTCTCCGAAGACGGTTTCTGGCGCGATCACCTCGCCCTATCCTGGAACTTCCGCACCGTCCAGGGCCCCTCCAACATCCTCTCATTCCTAAAGTCCTGCTCTGAATCAAAGGACGGTCTGCGCCTGACAAAGATTGAGGTTGATAGCTCAGCTCCTGTGCGAAAGCCCCAGTTTCTGCCTATTGATGGCGCTGGTGAAGTCCAGGGCGTACAGTTCTTTTTTGAGATTGAGACTGTGCGCGGTAAGGGACTGGGCCTTGCGAGGTTGATTGAGGAGAATGGGGAGTGGAAGATTTTCACGTTTTATACGAGAATTCAGGAGTTAAAGGGTTTTGAGGAGGCGATTAATGATCATCGATCGCGCGGTGTTGAGCATGGTGGAAAGCCTGGCCGAAAGAACTGGGCGCAGCGACGAGAGGCTGAGGCTGATTTTGCTGATGGTAGCGAACCTGCTGTTTTGATCGTTGGTAAGTAGCAGCTACTCATTAATACGTGTCTGTGATAGCTAACAATTTTAGGTGCTGGTCAAGCTGGTCTCACAGCCGCTGCTCGCCTCAAGATGCTCGGTGTCGAAGCTCTCGCAATTGACCAGAACGATCGCGTCGGCGATAACTGGCGCAAGCGATACCACCAACTCGTTCTCCATGACCCTGTCTGGTACGATCACATGCCATATCTCCAATTCCCTCCCCAATGGCCCATCTTCACACCCAAGGACAAGCTCGCTCAATTCTTCGAGGCCTACGCCACTCTTCTTGAGCTCAACATCTGGATGAAGACTTCCCTCATTGAGACAAAGTGGGATGGTGCTAAGAAGCGATGGGATGTCACCGTTGAGCGAACCAAGGATGATGGTACCAAGGAGCGACGAACTCTGCATCCCCGTCATCTCATCCAGGCTACTGGTCACTCTGGCAAGAAGAACATGCCTGACATGAAGGGTATTTCCGACTTCAAGGGCGATCGTCTCTGCCACTCTTCCGAGTTCTCTGGTGCTCGTGATAACAGCCAGGGTAAGAAGGCTATCGTTGTTGGATCTTGCAACTCGGGCCACGACATCGCTCAGGATTTCCTCGAGAAGGGCTACGACGTCACTATGGTCCAGCGCTCCAGCACCCATGTCGTTTCGTCCAAGGCCATCACCGACATTGGTCTCAAGGGCGTTTACTCCGAAGACGGTCCCCCCGTCGATGACGCCGATCTTCTCATCCACGGGCTTCCCATTCCCGTGTTCAAGGCCCTCTCTGTCACAACAACCAAGAAGCAAGCAGATTTCGACAAGGACATTCTGGCTGGTCTCAACAAAGCCGGTTTCAAGACCGACGCTGGTCCCGATGACGCCGGTCTCTTGCTAAAGTACTTCCAGCGCGGAGGCGGTTACTACATCGACGTCGGTGCCTCTCAGCTCATCGCGGATGGCAAGATCAAGGTTAAGCATGGACAAGAGATCGAGACTGTGTTGCCGCATGGATTGAGATTCGCCGATGGTTCTGAGCTCGAGGCTGATGAGATTGTGTTTGCGACGGGATATCAGAACATGAGAACCCAGACGAGGGTCATGTTTGGCGATGCGATTGCGGACAAGGTGAATGATGTTTGGGGCTTCAATGATGAGGGCGAGATGAGGACTATTTGGCAGAAGAGTGGACATCCTGGATTCTGGTACCATGGTGGTAACCTTGCTATGTGCCGATACTATTCGAAGCTGTTGGCGCTGCAGATCAAGGGATTGGAAGAGGGTCTGTATGGTTATGATGATATCTAAATCAAGGTTACAAGGAAAATTGTTTATAGCATTTCATTATAGTCACGCAATTAAGTTTCATCATTTCAATACCAGTTGGTAAATATGTGATCATTAAGTCGTGGTATTGTACACGAAAAATAGAATTATACAAGTATCCGTAAACCATATCCATCATTTGCTTATCACTAAAGCTCTAGGAGACCACTGATTTAACCAGCCTGGTAAACAGCCAGAGCAGCAACGTGAGGGTTAATCATCGTAAGGTTATAAGGTGTAACATAAAGATCCGTATCCGTCAAAGCAAGGAACATAGTTCCATTGATAGCGGGATCACCTTGCCAAGTCGAAACATTAGGCTGGATGGTATACGCCGTTCTGTCCTCAAGGCTGATGTTCTGGAGAGGAGAGTATGTAACGTTGAGCTGAGAGACCCACGCAGCAAACTTGGGCTCCTTGACGTTGGTGGAGGTGATGTAGCTGTTGTTGGGACCGACTGGCTTACCGGGTGCGTCCCAGTTCAGGAAGACTTGACGGCCTGGGTAGGACAGGGGAATGGTGCGGTTGTGTGTGATGGCGGCCTTGCAGTTCTCTCCAGTCTCAGTAGCGTTGACGCAAAGCTCATCCTTCTCAATATCCTTGGTAGACAAAGTATTGGCATATCCACCAGTCGTCTCATTCCACACCGCAGATCCATTGATGCGCACAGGATTAGGCTGGTTAAGAATATTCAACAACGGAAAGTTCTGCCACACAAGTCTCGTCTGATTGTAAGGACAGCTCGAAATATACGGCGCCAACAACGTCCACGCCCAGCTCTGTGGAATACCAGGCGTATGCCACTCCGGCATCGCAAACGTACCGCCAAACTGTCTAAAGATCATCTGCTGCCTCGCCTCAATGGTAATACTCTGCAGCAACAACTGCGCCGCAGGTCCAGAGTTCAAGTGCGGCAGGAATCCGTACACGCCTGACTCGCCCCAGCGCGTGAGCTTCTGGTTGAAGTCGATGAACTCGGGGACGTTGGAGACGGGGTAGTTGTACGTGCACTGCTTGGGGGCTTCGGGGCCGAGCATGTTGCTGATAACAGTTGCATGGCCGATTTCTTGACGCGCCATGTGTTCGATTAGAAAGCGGTCTTCAGCGTTGATGCCGTAGGCGTCGAACTCTTCTTTTGAGAAGGTTGCGAGACCCCAGCGGAAGAGATCGAGCTCAATCCACTCTTGGTACAGAGCTAGAGCGAGGGATTGATAGTCAAAGTCGCTTTGCACGCGATAGACAGGTGCAGAGCCGTTGGTGCCGACACCGCCGTCTGGAGTGTAGGGCGCAGGCTGGGGAGCGTTTAGTTTGCCATTGGCGGGGTAGTCGAAAGATCCGGGGGGAGGGGGACGCTCCGGAATAGCTGAGGCAAGAACTGTAGTTGAGAGTGCACCGGTGGTGGTGGGTGTTCCCTTGAAGGGGCCGTGAGAAGTCACGAAGCTATAGGGACGGGGTGTGCCAGCTGGACCCAAGGATGAGACAGTCGTCTGAGCCTCTGACACAACAGGTACTGCGTTCACAGCACCCACTGCCGCGAGGAGTATCGCACTTCGTAGCAAAGAAGTCGACATGATTTAATCAGAAAAGATGATGTCGAATACAGATGAGAATATGCACGAGCAGATCTAGCATTTTATCTGTATTCATCGGCTATCTTACAACTACCTCTTCAACTACCGACGTGCATTGATTTCTCCACTATGATGCGTAGAGATTATTATCAATCGCTCCGTCATGTAGGTCGTAATCATGCCGTCAAGCACTCAATCGCCAGGGGGACGAAAGGTCGATGATTCCAAAAGATTGAGTCAATGACATTATGACTATGGAAATAAAATTGGCTTGACGTTGTATCACCGGCGGGGAGTGGAGACTGGGTATGACGGGTCGATCCGCGAAAAGTCGTTGGCGTAGCTGTGACTTGACTATGGCGTAATGCTTGGGCGACTTTTATGCTGGGGGATTGACATCGGTAATTAATTCTAGTTTTCAGGTACCATTGACTGAATATTCCTTGTAATCGTTTGTCATGATCAAGTGTAATTGTATTCCAGATACGGTGAATATTTGATGTCAAACTCAATGAGGCCGAGGTGATCGCGATGCTCCCAACCGTTGATAACTCTCTTTCCGATTGACTTTTCATTCCAGCCGCATCCGATACAAATCTCGGGGTATGTAATTCCTCCGTCACAACCGGGGAATATTGATCGAGGATCGATCATCCCCAGAACCTATCAGAGACAACGGTGCCATCCGCCCCCCGGAGCTAATGGCCCGGAGAGATGGGCTATCCCTCTGGGGTTGAGACAGGCCGAATCATAAGCAAGCAGTTATGATACCCTGTTCATTGATTGGGTGCTGCGCTGAGCATCGTTAGCGGCATCATTTCTGGCGTTGCACAGTCCGTCATTTGTCGCTGCAAGACCGTCACGGAGAGAGCAATGGCTGACAGTGAAGCTGGTCATTCCGCCGTCATGGCTGTTATGTCGCGGCTTATATGTATTCACGCATAAAGAGAGAACTTTTGAAAACGAAAATTGCGATCATCTATCAATCCAAGCAAAGTTCCTACTGAGTCTCCAGGAAGCGATAGCTAATCATCATGTCTTCAATCCGTGCCATCATGAACCCTCACCTCCGCACGGTCATCAGACCTCAGCATTTCCGCTCCGTCCAAAGTCCCTTCCGCGTGCATATCGCAGCTTTGTCCGCAGTCTCAAACGCCATCGTCAAAGACCATCGTGAGCTGAAGAAGTACTACACCGAGGTAGTCAACTCCACCGACCACGATCATCAGCAGCGCTTCGGCAACCAATTCGTCTGGGAGCTCGCGCGTCATTCAATCAGTGAGGAACTAGTCATATACCCAGCTATGGAGAAGTACATGGGTGATAAAGGAAGACGACTTGCAGACGAAGATCGAGAAGAGCATCATCAGGTAAAAGCACCAAGCTAAAACGTCATCATGTACTTACCAATTTCACAGGTTAAGGAGAGACTCAAGATCTTTCAGAACTTAAAGTCTACAGATCCTGGATATGTCCCAGAGATCAAACATATCTGGGAGTTGCTGGATAAACATATCCAAGACGAAGAGAACCGTGATCTACCTGCTCTTGAGAAAGCACTTGCCGCGCACGCCGAAGATGCAGATAGTCTGGCTGCGTCGTTTGAGCGCACCAAGAGCTTTGTGCCGACGAGGAGTCATCCTAGTGCTGGGGAGAGTCCGCCTTTTGAGAATGTCATGGGCCTCATGGCGGCGCCTATCGATAGGCTTGCTGATATGTTCCGCAAGTTCCCTGACAAGAGAGATTTGTAATGTGCTGTAACGGTACATCATGACTGTAATAAGACTATCAATAAGAAAACAGAATGATTTATTATACGTAAATTATCTACTTTAATTAATTAAAATAATGAAAATACTGTTTCAATCTGATTGTAGATTGCTCTGATAACTGTTATCAGTGATGTCATTATTGATAAGGAAGAGCTACCCTATCATAGAAGATTCGACGTTGATGAATATGATACAACGCGGGTGGGGAACAGAATGAAAGTTTTTAATTTGATTTAAAAGAACTTTCTTACTTAGTGTTTTTCTATTTACTGACCAGCTTTGACACAAGTGAACAGGAAAGCTTCTGAATATTTTGCCAGGAAAAAAGTACTTGAAACTGTTTATCTACAGCCAGGGGGCAAATATTTGTCCACGCGAAAGCAATTGGATCAAAACCACAACCTCATAATGAAAAGCAAATCAATTCAGGAGCACTTTACACTCATATGAACCCGATCTTCAGTCATCCATTGTGTCAATTGAGTCATTGTAGCAGACTCCGAATGCGCGCTGGGTCATCTCATTATTTGTTCTTATCTTATCACTAGATCGTGACAATGCCGCCTCTAAGCGACAGGGCGTGGGGTTGACAAACGTTTACTCAGATAGCTCGACAATTAGCTCTACCATTCAGTCTATCGAGGTAATAATCGAAAGAGAAGGAGGATATTTCGACAAAAAAAAAATCTGAGCAGATGTGATGAGTGCGGTGCACGAATAAGAAGGCCAGTTGAAAAGTATCAGCAAGCTTGAGGCAAGTCGCAGCGCTGAAAAGAAAAAAGAAAAAAACCGAGGATCCTGACTATGTTATGAGCAAACAGGTTATCAATAAAAACATCAGTTTTTCTCTTTCATGCCGATGAAAAGCTGTCGAATTTGTCACGAATTACTTCCCGCGTCAGGCCGTTATCGCTCCATCGCCAAAGCTAAAAGGGTAGCGCAGGGTTAATCCGATGCGGGGTCGGCCATCACCCCAAACTTTTACGTATCACCAAACTTGAACCCCACGATAAATAAACCATCTCATCTCAGCGCATCCCTTCCTCACACCTTCAATCAAAACTCACAACCACAATGACTCCCTCACTACAAGACGCCAAAATCACCTTCCTGGGCGGCGGCAACATGGCCGCCGCCATCATCGGCGGTCTCCTCGCCAAAAACATCCCCAAGTCCAACATCTACGTCTCCGAGCCCTGGGACGTGAACCGTAACAAGATGGCCGACCTAGGCGTCAAGACCACCGCCGATAACAAAGAAGCCGCCGCCGACGCTGATGTCGTCATCCTCGCTGTGAAGCCGCAGGTCGCAAAGGGTGTCTGCGAGGAGCTGAGCTCTGCGTGGGCCAAGAGGGATAGTCTGCCTGTTGTTATCTCTATCGCGGCGGGTATTACGCTGGAGAGCATTGCGCAGTGGTTCAAGGGTGAGGCGGGTGAGGCGCCGCATATTGTGCGTGTTATGCCGAACACACCTGCGCTTGTGGGCGAGGGTGCGAGTGGGCTTTATGCGGCGGGGGATGTTACCAAGGAGGAGAGGGAGTTGACGTCTGCGCTTTTGGGGAGTGTGAGCAAGGCTGCTGAGTGGGTTGATAAGGAGGAGCTTCTTGACGTCGTCACTGGTATCTCTGGTAAGTTCATCATTTCAGCCTGCAAAATTACTGTTGCTAACATGTCTAGGCTCTGGACCCGCCTACTTCTTCGCTTTCGTTGAGCATCTGATCTCCAGCGGTGTCGGCCTTGGTCTCTCTGAAGAGCAGGCCACTCGTCTTGCCACACAGACCTGCCTGGGTGCCGGAAAGATGCTTGTTGAGTCCTCTGATGAGCCCGCTCAGCTGCGAAAGAACGTCACCAGCCCCAACGGCACTACCCATGCTGCCCTTGTCAGCTTCGAGAACTCTGGCCTCAAGGAGATTGTGGATAAGGCTGTCAAGGCTGCTGCCGACCGTGCTAAGGAGCTTGGAAAGAACTAGATGGCTACCTGGAGGAGTGGAACTGTAGATGGTTCATAGAGAAATAAAAGTAAAACCGTTAACACATTATATCTGATGAAGTTTGTATTGGAAGACCTGCGTAACTATTTGATGCAGGACCGTGTTATTCCTTGAATAAGCGATGCGATAATGTCAACTCTAATACTTAGTTCTGTCCGCCAGAGAGGGCTCTCAGCCACGAGTCTCAATTACAAATAACACATCTAGCTCAGAGCTTAGACAATCGAATAGAGTTGTAACACAGAGCGACAATGTTTTGGACGGTAGTTATTCACCCAGTAAAGACTCCAAACCCATCCAGGATTCCTCCAACATGTCTCCTGAGGCTTAGTGCTCTGGTCAACAGAAGCAACTGTCGCAGAGATCCTTAAGACAGTTCCTGAGGCACACCCGTTTGTTTATCAAAGGCTCAAGGTCTCAGTTGAGCAAGCTTTGGACAACTCAACTACCCAAAGGCTCAGGCGATTGGGATTCCTTCCAGTGTAATCGCTAGATGGTTGTCTTCAAATTGAGACAAGGAACCCGTATCAATATCAAACCGGATAGATCGGAGCATCCCGTTTCAATATTACCTACAGCTCTAACTATGAGCCAAGCAAGCGAGGTAGGGTTCGATGTGTGAAGCTCTCGTTCTCCAGTCGGCCCGTATGGTGTTAGTATGATGTGAACCAAACTAAATCGCCGCCAAACCTGTCGTTGTGTGCCCAATAATCTAGCTAGAAATCTTAACAGACCATTTACTGGTCATTGTCCTGAATAATGTTCCTGCTAAAATGCACAGACGTACATTCGCAAGATGATCCCACCACAACCCATGGGGAACGTGCATATCTGGTTAGTCCCGAACTCTCGCCTACACCCACAGAGATGTCTTCTATAGGGGTATGCGCCCATTAGCCTCTACACAAATCAATCCCACTTGGCTAAAATTAGAGGAGGCCCGATTAGCAGCAATGGCACAGTGGAGGGTTGGACACTTGAGGCTGGCCCTCGATGCTCCGGGGGGTTGAAGCCTAGGCGAACCAGAGAATGTCAGGATCGTGGCATAATGTTTCATGCGATTGTAAAGATAGACTATCACTGAATCGTCCATACATGGTTATGCATTCTTACACGAGTGTTTCTAATTTGCGCGACGCGATATGAAGCGAATTATCTCCAAGCGAGAGAAGAAAGCTGTCTAGATAAGAGGAACAAGCCCTACAAGAGAAGAAGAGAAAACAAAGACATTCGAACAACCACAGGTATCGCCAACTTCCATCATCGAGACCTGACAACATTTCATTCCCCATGTAGACCACACGAGAAAATACTTGGCTGCTATTGTCCTCCCTCCGAACACCTTCTGAATCTGGGACACAACAACTGTTCCCACCAACGGCCAGCCCGAGCTCACCAGTTTCCAGATTCCAAGATTAATGAAATCTCCCACCATATTCCCCTCAATTGCCAACTTCCTCTACCTCTGCATCCTCCTCCTTCTTCACACCGTGACTCTGTCGACTTTCCCAAGACGAAGACGGGACCCAGTGAACCGACTTGCGAGCGACGCTGACTTCTTCGTAAAGCTGATCAACTTGCTCCAAAGTGAGTCCTTTCGTTTCGTAAATGAAGAACCAAACAAATGCAATGCACAGGAAGCAGCAACCAAACCAAACGAAAAAGATCTTGGACTGCAAGTTTGCATTTCCATCGCCATAATTAACCATGTATGGCGTGGAATAAGCCAGAGCCCAATTGAGCAGCCAATTTGTAGCAGTTGTGATGCTAAGGGATTTGGCTCGTGTCTTGAGTGGGAAGATCTCTCCTGTCACCACCCAAACGAGGGGACCCCAAGTCGCTGCAAAGATGGAGATATAAATGCAAACAAAGGCCACAGCCGCTCGTTGCCCGCCGAGATTCTTGATGAAAATCTCGCCGTTGTCGTACTGACCGGTCGATAGAGTGCCACAGACAGCAACGATCAGTTGAGAGATAGACATGCCAATGGCGCCATATAACAACATGGGTCGGCGTCCCCATTTATCAATCGCATACATGCCAGGCACTGTCGATGCAACATTGATAGCTGAAGTGATCATTGAGATGACAAAACCACTAGAAACACCCGAATTCTGAAAGTATTTGGTGCCGTAATAAAACTAAAAGGTTGTCAGTAGGGACGAAGCTTCTCAAAGGTAGCCCTCATTGAACTTACGATGAAGTTGATGCCTAAGTAAATAGTCAGAATTGTTCGAAAAGTTCAGAAGTTGCTTGAGGCTGGGTTGTGCTCACCTGTAAGCTGCTGTAGCGCCTGAACGCCCATACCCGTGAGTTGCCTCTTGAGCATGGGAGGCTTGAAGCATTGGAGATAAGAGGACTGCCCAAGACTCATCTCAAACTCATGGTTTGCGACAACCTCATTGAGTTCGTGTGCAACCTCCGGGGAATCGGCAGGTAATCTTCGAAGGCGGCTAAGAGATTTTGCCGCCTTGTCCAATTGGCTCTTCTTCACAAGAAAACGTGGAGTCTCTGGAAGAAACAGCAATCCGGTAAAGAGGATAAGAGACCAAGCAAGTTGAAGGGCAATAGGGATTCGATAGGAGCCTGAATCATCCCGTTTCGAAGTTGCATTGTTTACAACAGCGGCGAGAAGAAGACCAATGGTAATGGCCCACTGGTAGGAGCCAACGATAGCACCACGGATCCATTTCGGTGCTGTTTCGGACTGATAGAGGGGGACTTGAGGAGGGTTAGCCGCTGTAAGAAATGGATAAACGATAAACATAATTCATACTGGTAGCAGAGATAAGGCCAACACCAAAGCCAGCAAAAAAGCGGCCTGCCAGAAATAAAGGAATATCCGTGGCGACAGTATGCAAAACAACTCCAAGGTTGAAGACCCAAGTCGAGATCATCAACCCAGGGCGTCGACCAAGCCAATCAGACAAGAGAGGCGAGGCAAGGGCACCGAAAAAGGTGCCCGCGGAGAGAATAGACACGATAGCTGACTCCTGAGATGAAGTGACGTTGGGGTTTCCATCAGCATCGATATAGCCAGTGCTGAATTCTCGCTGCCAGTAAGGCATAGCCAGGATACCGCTAATGGTGCCAGTATCATAGCTATAGAATAGGTCAGTCACCTTGGGATTGTCGAGAGAGGGAGGAAGTGGAATACCCAAAGAGAACACCGCCAAAGGCAACGAAGAAGCCCACGGCGATGGCTGGCCAGGCTTTGCCAGGTTCATCCTGGGGCCTCGAAAGAGACGCTTTGCTAAGAAGTCCCATCTTCAAAGTGATGAAGGGCACCGAGCTATTGCTGAGATGGAAGATAGAGTATTAAAGAAGGGGGATGTCTTGATGCTGTGAGTTGAATGCTTGCCGTTGTAAGATGATCTGGGTTGTGTAAATAACCAGCCTCTTATAGATTCTTCACAGCTTTGAGATTTACCTTTATCTTTGGACGAGTTCTTGTGATTGCACCCATGGAGAAACTGGAGCTTGTATTGGTGACTTGACCCATGTTTCCCATCTCATCTGGCTTTAGGAAATACTACGACTAGTCGACGACGCACTTCTCACATGCCTGCCAAGCTATTCATTGAGATCCACTGCGATTGAACTTGATTCTAGTTGGTTTTGATAATCTTCGAGAAGCATCATCCCAAAACCCGGAGATATCGAAGCACGACGGTCTCGAATGGAGCCAATCATCTCTCGCATCGCCAAGTAGTTCATCCGTTGGTTCAAAGTCAGCCAGGATTTTGCGTGACTTCGACGTCGATAAGCAGCTGCAACAGCGAAGCCGGGCGATCATGACGGTAGAATGTTTCTAGAAGGTGTCGGTCAAGCCGGGGCTAACTTTAACTATCGAATCTCCGTCATCTGCATCTCTGCCCGCAACAATGCAGCTTTGAACTGGGGATGGCATCATGTTGGGTGCGGGGTTGGGCTGTTGGCTGTCAGAGCTGAGCTATTGTGCGGAGTTCTCTGCTTGGACCACCATCCATAAGATCGACAAAAATGAGGCCATCTTGGGCTCAGATAAGACCTATTCTACCTTCCCCATATGGGGTAGGTGAGAAGTCCAAGCGATGAGAGAAGACTGGTAGAAGGAGGGTAGGGTAGCTACCTGCAGTGTCCCTATTCAGGACAAAGGATCTACCAACATACTTCCTCGGAATTCCCCCGCACAATGAGGTTATTCCTAATGCGATTTAAGGCGCCGTTCAAAAACAAGCTTGATCGACACCACTTGGAACCTCGCCTAATCGCTACCAATGACCGTTGAGCGTTGTTGTTTTTGTCGCGCCGACGGGAAGACACGATGTAACACTTACGAAGATAAGTGGACGCTTCTGACACCTAGAGGTGTCATCCCAACTTCCATTTGCTTTCTGGAAGCCTGTTAGGAGACACATCGCTTACTAGCATTGTTTCCACTGCGCTGCATTGCAGGAGAATCAACCACCAGTACATACAGCACCATGACGGTCCTGAAGTCCACTAGCACACATATGGCAATCCGAGACTCACTCCCTAGCCAATAGCCTCAGCCTAGACAATGCTCACTGCTTGAGCTCAAGCCCTGTTCTGTCCTTTTACGCGTACTCCGTATACACATTCCTTTTCCACTATCAGTCCTTGTATGCTGATCGTCATTTCCATTTGACCTGACCTATCGGATTCGAGACCATAAACACCCCGTCAATGCACTAAGTGCATGGTCGATGCTCGACGGGCGCTATCTGAGTGATGAATCTCCAAGCTTGAGCAAGCGCTTGATCCGTGCTTCACGTCGCTTGCTGGAATTGTCAAGGCTCCGTCAGATTTATGATATGTTTGAGCACGACCAGGTTGCGAGGGAATTTTGGTCTGGTGAGCATCATCTCCCCTGCATCTTACCCACTCCGAATCATCCGATGTTACCGTATGGTACATACCGTCCGCCGCATCACCGCTCGTGCATGCATGGAACGTGCTGCGCTGTGCTTCTAGATCAACTATAGCTCTAGCTTATGAGACCCTAGTCACTTTGCTCGGGATGCCCTCTCAGCAACTGTATTGATCAGGAAGTTGGTATTGGTCAATGTGTTCCTGACTCATAAGCACATTCGGTTTTGCCCATGTTACCAAAGTGGTAGTACCCCGGGGTTGCGACTGGAGAGCTTTGCATGTTGAGGCCCATAGGCTTCCATGTAACCGAGCTTAATGAAGGAATGGTCACCACGTGGATTTCGGTCAGAGGATAAAGGCATTGGCATTTCTTTTGAACCTTCTAGCGAACTTGAGCGTCATCCTTGGGCGTTATGAATGTGCTCTACCTAAAAGACCAGCATTAGGAAATCCCTTTACTTGTGTCGGAGCACTAATTATACAATCGTCGCCTCCTTCCAAATGCTCAACTGTCACGCTCAAGCTTTCACGATAACATCTATCATGGAAAATATCCCCGCCCGGCCTCGGCATCTGGTGTTGTATCTGGCTACCAGGTCTGCTGAAAGGGAGCGGATAGTTCTGCTCCATCTTGTACCGACTTAGCTTATCTAGTGCGGTTTTGAAGTCATCTAGAACGATCGTATCGGTGAAGCATTTGAAGATAAATGCAAACTTCCAGAATGGATTGATGACACCGATCGGGATAACCGGCGTGACCGAGAGAAGATCGACAATAATGAAGATGATACTGAGAGACATGCTCAACAGTAAGAGACCGAAACGAGGGGATATGCGGATGATCTCGAGAGGTTTGAACTCATAACGGTATTTAATGTTCCAGAAAAGGTTAATCGCGGTAAAGATCCACCAGGGATCGCTGATATGTGTCAGTCAAATTACTCAGCTTTTCTTGATAGTGATGCTTACCGGCAGACAGCCTCAAGCGGTCGGGTCGAGGAGAAAAGCCGAGTATTAGGAGTGTTGAAGTACGTGAAATTGGCATAGATCTCAAGGACCCAGTAAGGCTGGACCAGTATGATACTACCAATATATATAGCATTATTCCGCTTTGAAAGGAAGGGCTTGTTCTTCATCCAGGCGATGACGTTGTGCAGATTCCACGAGATGATGAGGAAAATAACAGTCGAGGAAAGATACCAACCCCAGGTCGGAGGATCGAAAAAGGTAAAGAAACCATTTGGCATCGCCAGAAGGAGCTTGGAAATACTGTGAGATGATTTGTCTATTGAAAGCGATACTGATAAGGATGCTCACCTCGATCAAGATAAGTTTATGTAACATGACACCGCGTCGCATATTAGCTAACGTGATACCCATCATGATGATTAAGGCGCCAATCATACAGCCTTGCGACCAGGCTTCCAGCGTGAGCTTCGCTGGGCTCGAGGGCCATGCCGCAGGGACTGACATTCTGACACAGCAGGCTAAGGCATGAGGCACTGGCTCTGTGGGTAACTGAACGATAAGGAAAGGGAGAGTAGCTCAGGGTGGAGACGAGACCGTGCATATTAATAGAGATCAACAGGACCCAAACCATTGACTTTACCCCGCCTTTGCTGAACCGCTAGTCTCCTGTGCTGCAGGCCTAAGGGGGCCTAAGCAGGCTTGTTGGCCACTAATTTGCTCATCCCCACGCCACGGCTAGCCTGGGCTGGGGTCGCGGGGAACACTACTGTACGACGACGTAGCAGTACTCTTAGTCTGTTTCTTGTACAGTGCTTAGTAGGCCCACGGGTTAACGGCAACGGCCAGCGTGTGAGACTGAACTAGCCAAGGAGAAGAGGAGAAAGTACTCGTCACAGCTCATCGCACCATACATCACGAATCCAATGGCACCAACTTGAGCCGAGTGACCACCATTCACGACTAGCCCAGGTTAATGTCGCGCGATTCCTGGTACACTGCAAAGTCATAACCGAAAACACCGTATGAAAATGAAGACCGTTCCGAGTAAGCTTTGCTGATCTATGCCCCTTGGTCCGGCCAGATGCAAGGGTTTGCAGCTCTAGAGTTAAATAGTGACCCAAACCATCATCCTTGCAGATAATCATTTCGCGGGGTGGATGACTGTTGCCCAGCACATCCTTTGCCAATTCGGACTAGGTCAGTTCGCCGTCCAGGTAAAGGCCCGATCACGACCTCCCTGGTCTTGATACCACCAGATTTGAGTCTTTAATTTCAGCAGCGTTTTGAGAGGCATTGTACAAACAACTAGTCAATCCTCTCACAAGCCGCGTAACTAAATGAAACCAACGTCAAGGTTCCTGTATCTGACACAATCTGAACGCCATTGGCCCCTTGATTCGGATAAATCAACCCCGATAACACTACTACACCGTCGTTCACAAATATCTCCACCGAATTCCAATCCACGTATATGATCAGCTTGACGGCACTCCCTCCCTCCGGATTCGGCGCTGTGCGCACGGTATCGTACGTCTGCTTCGGGCCCGCAGCCATGGAATCCGTCGCGGAACCGTCTGAGTCTCTGACCAGAAAAGTCTGGGCGCGCACAAAGTCGTAGCCGACAGTCGTGCTGAATTCCTCATTGGATTTAATGATAAACCGGACCTCGTTGCCCTCGTCGCCGTCATTCTTGGAGATCGTGGCGCGGATGATGTATGCCCCTTGATCCATGCCGCTGGGGAGGGATGCGTACGCAGGATCCGTTGTGATGGTCTTGTTGCTCACGGCCTTTGAAGATCCGACAACCTCGCCATAGCCTCCTATTGGGATGCTGACCAAAGTGGGAGAACCGTTGATAGTCTTGAGCTTGACCTCCCGGAGTAAACTCTGCTGGCCAGCGAAATTCGCGTAATAAGGGAGTGAAGCTGCGTAATTCCAGTTATTCATCCAAGCAATGGCATAGCGACTGCCGTATTTGTTATCAGGATTTTCCCAGCTGACCGTGGCGTAGAAATCAGGCCCGTCATCCATCCACTGCGGCAAGCTTTTTGTAGCTGTGAAAGCATTACCGTCCCATTTCCCAGTCCAATATGCAGTACCGGTCGTCCTATTGTAGCGATAGCCGTTGGCGCCCATCGCGAGAACCCAGGTGCGCTTTGTGCTGTCGCCGTCTAGGTCGATCTGATATAGATCTGGGCATTCGAGGGTGCCCAAGTCTACGCCAGCGTTGCTAGGCTTAAACTCGGATACATACGCCCAGGTCTTCAGATCTGTAGAAGTGTAGAAACCAATCTTGTCACCCTCTGCGAGAGACATCGCCCAATGTCCCTCTTTGGCATCCCAAAAGACCTTGGGATCTCGAAATGCAGGTTTTGTATTTGGGCTTGGGTTCGGCATTACGGGATTGCCTTTGTAAGGGCTAAAGCTGTACCCATTATCGGTGGAATAGAAAAGAGATTGCTGTTGCAGCCCATCTGCCATCTGTGTAACAATGGCCACCACGGCATTCCGGCCAAATCCAGCAGTGCTGTTCATGTCGACGATGGCGCTACCGGTCTCGATATCACCGAGTATAATACCAGTGGGAGGGTTCGGTTTGTACTTCTCCATCACTACGCCCCGACGAGTCCAGTGCACCATGTCGGTACTTGTGATATGATACCATTCCGTACCTCCTGAACCGGGGCTTGAGCTATCAAAGTTGGAGTTGTATAGGTAGTAGAGATGCCATTCGTCCCCCAGGAAGAACGGACGCTGGGGATCACTCATCCAGTTCTTCTCAGGCGTGATGTGATAGCTGGGCCGGGTATTGGTGGGAACAGCTAGATCTGCGCTGGCATACAAGATAAATAGCAGGAATGGGAAACGGGGCATTGCTAGCCTCTGTGAGACGAGCTTGAGAAATCCCAGCATGGTAACGATGAATGTACGAGGCTTTAGATTGTGATGCTAGCTAGCAAAGGAGATCGCGCGAATGCCATCTCATCGTTCCTACTTATGAACAGGCTGTTCACGAGATTTGAGTGACCTGCCTGGCACTCTCTACGACGTCAGCTTTCATGAGCCAACATAGCATCCCCCCCGGCAGATCATACCCAGTCCCAACATAGGTCTTGTAGGTTCTGACACCAATGAGCGGCTGCCGTATGGTCACAACAACATAAGGCGCCCAAAGGTGACTATGGCCAAGCAATGCCATGTTAAACTCTGCGCATGTGTGGTGCAGCAGCACTTCCATCTTAATGATGCGGAGTGGCCGCACAGCTCGGCGCAGGTACTAGACCGCGCTCAAGCTATGAAGAGGTTGCGGAGATGCGGGGAAGTGATGGAATAGGGAATGATATACCAGGAACACTCTGAGTCCATATGGCTGGGACAATTTGGGCAGGTGATAAAACTGAGCCTTGTCACATTTCCCCGCTTCTCAAGCCGGTGAACGCAAGTTAGGAAGAACCCTCCTCGGTGTCGTCTTCTCTTGAATGCGTGCATGCATGACTCGGACATGCTGTAGGCTGATGTGGAGTAGGTTTAGCTGCCACGCTAGTAGCGAGGTGCAGTAGTTGAGGGTCTTGCATTCTGGAAAGCCGCTAGAAACTGGGTACAATGCAATACCTGGCTGATTCACACGTCACACTATCCTAGCCGACATGGTCTCATCAAGAAGGGAAGAGGAGATTGCAAGGTCGCGTCGTGACCTCTCTTACTCACTCCACATCAAGTACACATAAATGCCTCATACCAGTCTTGTTAACTGCATGGGTCTTGCACGATCAGATCAAAAGCGAGGTCACTCAATGACCCAATAAGATCGAAGTAATGGTGGACATATATCAAAGCTACATGAATCTAATGCGACTCTATAGCCCTTCTGGTCTGAAAGTGGAAGGTAGAATATGGTTCCTAGACTCCGTATCATCCGCATATCTCGCCCGACTATTGAGCTATGTAGACTCATTACCGAAGCCGTGTCCAGAGGCGCCAGGGTTTCTGGATGTGTAGGTACGTCGTGCCATCCAATTTCGACTAAGGTGCGCTTCCACTAGGGCATTGTGGTATGTGGTTACATCTGTAATAGTTCGGATTCTAATCGCGCATCATCAGAACTCATGCAAGAGTCACCAATTATAGTCGATCAAATGGTATCGACCCCTGCTTCGGCTCGCGGACAACACTGATTCCTTCACATCCTAGGTTCAGACAAGAAATCAGTGTGATCTGCCACTTCGATCTCTTAAGACACAGTGAAAGAAGTATAAATGTTGCATGGTTCTTTCCCATCTCAGTACAAATCAATCATTCCAACGCACTCAGTCAAAGATGAAACTCCAACTCTCTCTTCTTCTTCCTTGCTTGCTGGCAACCGCCAGTGCAACATCCTACACCGAGGACTACCGTCCTCAATATCACTTCACCCCAGCCAAAAGCTGGATGAATGACCCCAATGGCCTCATCTATCATAAAGGCAAATATCACATGTACTTTCAGTACAACCCTACAGGCAACGTCTGGGGAAATATGTCCTGGGGCCATGCAGTCAGCGACGATCTCATTCGCTGGAAAGAATTGCCTGTCGCCCTCAACGCCTTCGACTCTCCAGCAGGATCGTTGAATGAACTCTATTTCTCCGGGAGTGCTGTCTCTGACGATGCCATGACTTCGGGTCTTGGACATGGCAAGAGACCTCCTCTTGTGGCTGTCTACACATCGGCTTATACGAGAGATATGACCCTCCCGAGCAATAAGTCTGTGCGTGCCGGCCAGCAGTCTCAGTCAATCGCCTACAGCACAGACAACGGGTTTTCTTGGACTGAGTATCCTGATAACCCAGTCATCCTAGAGCCTCCTAGCCAATATGCCGGCCAATATCTCAACTTCCGCGACCCATTCGTCTTCTGGTACGAGCCAAGCAAGCACTGGGTCATGACCGTATCACTGCCCAACCTTCACAAGCTGCTTATCTACACTTCCAAAAATCTCACAGACTGGGCACATGTCAGTGAATTTGGTCCTGTCAATGCAGTTGGTGGTCAGTGGGAGTGCCCCAGCTTGTTTCAGCTTCCTGTGGATGGGAGAAAGTCCAGAACCAAGTGGGTTATGGTGATCGGACTCAATCCCGGTGGCCCCGCACATGCTGGCGGATCAGGAACCCAGTATTTGGTCGGCAACTTTGATGGAACAACATTCACGGCAGATGCCAACAATGTCTACGATGCGTCTGCTCCAGAAGATAGCGTGGTGTTTGAAGATTGGAAAGAAACCAGCTTCGCCGCATCGAGCTGGAAGCCAACTGGTGACTTCGTTAATCAAGAGCCCAGCAACGGCCAGGTACTCACCTTGTGGGAAAAGGGCGATGAATCTGTTGGATCTCTCAGCTCCAAGAAGTTTACTGTCTCCAAGAAATACATTGCCTTCAAGATCGGCTGTTGCAACAATCCGTACAATCCAGACACGTATGGAACGACAGAAGATCAGGAGACAGCGATCAACCTGATTGTGGATGGACAGGTTGTCCGATCGACCACTGGCGTCAACGGAGGCGATGTCATATGGGCGAGCTGGAACGTCGCCAACCTCATTGGCAAGACTGCATATATCCAACTTGTCGATCGCGCCACGGGAGGCTGGGGCCATCTTGACGTAGGCGAAATCGTCTTCACAGACAAACCACTCCCGCCGCAAGCGAACTGGGTGGACTACGGCCCTGACTACTATGCTGCTGCCACTTACAATGGACTTTCCAATTACGAGCGCGTGGCCATCGCCTGGATGAACGATTGGGCCTACGCTGTGGACATTCCCACTTCCCCTTGGCGAAGCGCGATGAGCATACCTCGGGTCTTGACACTTGAAACCGTGGACGGGAGAGCACGTCTGATACAGAAGCCACATCCTAACCTGCAAACCTTGGATAGCAAAAGAATGCTGTATAAGAATCAATGGCGTTTAACGCGCACAGGCAATTTGACTCTCCCAGTGTCTGGAAAGGCCTTAGATATAACCTTGACTTTTGCCGCTGGCAAAGACTCAAAAATACTGGGCCTGAACCTGCGAACAGACGGCAAGAAATACGGCACCGCTATTGGTTATGACTTTGACACCAATGAGATGTTCGTTAATCGCGAGTCATCGGGTGATTCTTCCTTCAGCGCCTCGTTCTCCGGCGCATACTACGCTCCGCTGCCTGTAAGAGATGGAAAGGTTAAACTGCGCATTCTGCTGGACTGGTCATCGGCTGAGGTGTTTGGCGGGAGTGGCGAAGAAGCGATAACAGCACAAATCTTTCCTCCGGATTCAAGCACGGGCGTGTCGCTGTTTTCTGTTGGTGTTGTGAAAGACGTTAAGATAGAGGTGCACTCGGTATCGTCCGCATGGAGAGGGCCGTATTGATAGTGGCCTTGCAGAGGGTATAGGCAAGAGAAGCAAGCTGGAAGAGATAGGGAACGTAACTCTGTCCGTGTCTACCAATACTTTGCATTCCTCTACGGTTTTTCCTCTACCCATTCTAAGACAGCTTCTTTAGATCAGTCATACATACATCAAGACGAGGCCTCATGCTATCTTAGAACAAATCCATGTATCAATTTCCAGCTAGAAGTGTCCAGAACTCCATGAAGGGACCTCTAGTCTAAAATTACTCATTGCTTATAGACTCTTTCATTTCTTCATACTTGTTCTTCAACCACGTGTCCAAATACTCCAAAGCTTTCAGATCGCACTCAGTCGACGACTCCTTGTATACCACGCGCGATATTCCCTGCCAGTCGCCCACATGTCCACCTTTATCTAGTTCCGTCCCAACAGGATGGCAAGCATCGAAGTCCAACAACACAGGTTCCCCCTTATCCGTGAACATGATGTTGGAGGGACTCAAGTCATTATGTGCCAGTCCCAAGCTATGGAGATGCTCCAAAACTGACTTGATAGCAGCGATGCACTTCTCGCGCTGACCGAGGCCAAAAGAGATGTCATGCGCGCGCTCAGAGAGAGTAGTTTTGTATTTGAGGAGAGCAAGACCCTCCAAGCGTCCATCTTCACCAACAACGCATCCTAAGCTTTGACCTAGATTCGGGTGGGGATGCTCACGCAAGATTTCGTAGATCTTGGCCTCATGTAATAAGAGTTGGGAATAGTATCCTTGTCGCCTAGGGAGTAGAGCGCAACGCCAGGGATTTTGATGTAGATTTCGGGGGCACGAGTGAGGGTAGAAGGACATGGCGGGAAGACATTCTCCCTGGGGATTAGGCAGAGCTCTTTGATGATGCTAGCTTCATCAATTTCCTTTGACTTGGATTCACTGGTCCCATAATAGATTTCACCATTTTTCACCGCGACAATACTTGTGTGAGAGAAAACTAGCTGCCCTGAGTCATCACTCTCAAGGGTTTTCCAGATCTCATGTGCGGCGAAGGGCTTTAGGGAACTCGTGCAGTAGTTCATGAGTATGGTGTGAAGTCAGGAGTATCAGAGTGTATCAAGTGATCAATTGTCTTGTGACGGACGGAAAGAAGGTCGAAACGGTGCAAGACAAAGAAAGATGCATCGCCCCTAGAGTGCGGGGAGGGGAAGGAACCCTGGAGAGATCGGGGCTTTGGGTAGCAGAGCCTCGTTGATGGGTTGATGCCGGGCAGCCAATTATCTGTTGGTAACGTACCCAGCTGACCCGAGTTTGGTGTACTCGAGCTGATTGAGGTAGTCAATGGGGTAGTCTAGACAAGCTTACATGAATGTTGGACTGCAACAGAAGTGGGAAATGCAACCTGCACTTGTTGAGACGTGGCCTATCAAAGTTTATCCCGCTCCATCTTGTCCAACATACCGACCTTCACTCGCACGAGCTTTGGCAAACCCCTCTCTCTCTTGGGGGCCTCAATCTTGTCAGTCCAGGTATTGCGTTCCCCAACGGCAGGTCAGTATGACTTTGTAGACAAGGGTAGAGGAGCTAATTCATGCATGGCGCCTCACATGAACACGGGTCGCCAGACCAAAGATAATATGTATTTCTATCGGAGGTTTGCGCATTTTAGTGACCGCCTGCTTAGACTGGCGTCACCGATAAGTATAAAACCCTCCCCTCTGCGCATTTTGCAGTTACACAGCCTGAACCTCTTTGACAACAGCACAAAGAACCATTAGCCACTACAACATAAAAGAAGCTCCGTCCTTTCAGAACTGCAACCATATCTTATAATAAGATGTTAGTCGTTCCAGGATATATGGGTATCAAAGACTTGCCAGCTAATGGCTTATGCTAGCATTTATATACAAGCGCTACTGAGTTTTATTAGTTAATACACTGTAGGAAACCGGTTTTTGTTAGAACGAGTATTATTATATAATTGAATAAGAACTGCCCTAGTAGATAACAACAAGAAGATGCCTTCTTGGAGTAGTATCCCTAGGATTAGGAAGGACTATGTAGCTTATGAAAGTAATCACTGTATTGAAATATTGGACTCACTCCTATCAAGGGTGGGGAGCAGTTGAATAGTTATAGTTCTCTAGCTAGTCAAGCGAGGCAAACGAGGCAGTGATTCTAGTTGGTCCAAGAGCGACTCGAAACAGACTCCTGTCCAGGTGATAGAAAGTTTGCCCTTAAAAAGTACCTTGGTACCTGGCTTTATGGTAAAGATTAGTATTATTATCGCCTATGAATAGACCTCTCCTATCTGTTTCAATACCACGTAGTCAATGTCTACCTCGTATCCATAGTCACAGAACCGGCTTGTCCCGTCTGGAACAGCGGTAGTAAGTTCCCCGGGTCTTCCAATGTCTTTATCCTCTCTTCCAAACTCTCCTCGCCGTCCATCATCTCCAACTGTCGATTATACAATTCCTTGACTTCTTTCCTCGTCGCAATCATTTGCTCACAATATAGTTGACAGTAATTCTCCAAACTTTTGATCCGCTCCTGCAGTGCCTCTATCACCTGCCAAGCAGCCGAACTGTTTTGATACGAAGCTTTGAGCTGGTTTGCTGCCTCTTCTTGGTTCCCTTCCACCGTTTCTTCCAAATCACTAATGCGACCGACGAGATTCTCTAGTTGGTAGCTCCCTTTTTGCTGCAGTTGTGCCTCAAGCTCTCGTACTCGTTTCTTGAGCGCTGTAATGTCCTCGCTTGTTTTTAGAGATGTTGATGAATGGAAGCATGAGAAATGGCCACAGTAACAAGTCGCGCCAGGGAGGGATGTGTTGTGGTGAAAGCCCATGCATCCGCAGCGATGGCCTTTCAATTCCGGTATTGTGAGGATATAACGACATTGCCCCTGCGGTAATTGCGCTGCATCTCCAGGTGGTGCTGAGGCTGACTGAGTGGAGCGATGGAGATCATTAGGATGGGGCATTTTTGACGATCGACGAGCACTACAATCTGACATTTTGACGACAAACGAAACGGTAGCAAAAACACGGAAAATAGAGTAGAAAGTGAGCAAAGCCTGACCCGGCGGATAATTCCATTAAATGGAGGTCATAAGCCATTCCGCCACCGAAAAGGGCCACGCGACCCCGCGAACTTGTCGGTTCGGAGTCAAGCCCGAGAGGAGAAAGAGCGTGGGGGTTCCCAGATGGAGCCCGACGACATGGATACAGCGCGAGCATGGCCCAAAGGGGAATTCTCTCGAGTCATCAATCGGCACTAAAAGAACATCCCACGATCTGAGGGGGAAATGGGGTTGCAATGCAGATTTAAGCATTGCCGTTGTTTGCCGGTGAGCTGAGGATGTCGTGATATGGCGGTGCAAAGGCATGTGAGGGGATGTCGACCTAACAGTAGAGGCACAAGTACTTGGATGAGAGACATGTTCATAAGGATGGGAACCATTTGTTTTGAAGCTATGATCGTCTTTATGCTTTACTAAGAGACTGCCTCATTTACCCTGCGCGCTTATGAGTCGCTTGTTAATGGCCAACAAGATCGTGTACAACGTCTCAATCGTCGCAACATCGACACCAAGCTCTCTCCCCTTCCTAACAGGATATCCCAAAATGACCTCAACCTCCATCGGCTTACCATTTTCATAATCCGTCCTCATACTGCTCCCAATAGGCGGCATCGCCAAGATCTTCTCCAGAAGCCTATCGATTAGTTCATACCCCAAAGGAACACCAAGCGCATTCGCAACATCAATGACCTCCTTCATTAGTTTTCTTGTCATGGGAGTCGACAGGTCGGATGAGCTGAGCCAGGCATGCGTGTCCATAAGTGTAAGGGCAGTAAGTGAGTTCCACGCTGCGTTCCAAACGACCTTTTCCCATCGCTGAACCTGGATGTTGGGAACGATCTGGAAGATGGTTTTTCCGATAGACAGAAGTGATTCAAATTGAGCGAGACGTTGGGTATCTTGTGATGCGTCGCCCGCTTTGTTTGGGTACAACCCAACTTGCATATCCTCGGATGTCGTATGATTTATGAACCCAGGCTCTGGCTGCCTTGCGCCCACCCAAGTCTACAGTTATTAGTAACAAGATGACAGGTCAAACAAATACACATACCACGCATGAGATGATGGTTGCACTCGGGAACTTTTCACGGAATGCATCCTCATTGCCAACACCGTTCTGGATGATGACAATTGAGGTGTTATCGCCAACGCCGGGAGCAATATCAGCAGCAGTGCTGAGCTGATCGACTGCTTTGTTCGTGCAGATGATGAAGTCGAACTTTTGATTAGCTTCGGCGACAGTTCGAAAGACTATGCACAGGATGAGAAAACGTTCATTAGGATGCTTGACGACACATACTCTTGTGAGGTTTCACGTGGTGTTTGCCATGATTCTGGCTGTCAATCGAGATACCATTCGCAGCAACGACTTCAAAATTCGATCGGGCGACAACGGTCAAGTGAACATGTTCACTACGGCTCAGAATGAAGGCATAAAACGAGCCGATCCTCGATAAATGTCAGTCATGATCTGATCACAGAATGAGTGAACGTACGCTCCAAGGCCGTAGACCAATACTTCCAAGGTTTTGTCACTCATCTTCACAGTACGTCTTGAAGGCGGGGTAATACAGCAAAGCAGATTCAGAGAAGTAAATAGAACAGGATCTCATCAAGTTCGCGAATGCTTTTCCGTCTAAGTTTGACCCCTCACTCAGGATTTCCGGGGCCTCCATCGCCAAGAGCGTGGGGGTTCATCATCCCGACCTGAATTGCCGAGCATGTCCCGGAGGTTGCTTACCCCAGATTTCATGTGCTTTCGTGGGATGTCGGAGAACGACACCAGACCGATGGCATGTTGCGACCGAAGGATTTGATCACTGGCTGGAACGAGCACTTCATATTAAAATGATATCTTAAACTGCAGTATGCACTATTGCTTCACCACTCTCTGATACTACCATCAGGACCATGGAACGTCTTACACTGCCATGGTTCCGTCTTCTTCGCAATCCTAGCCACCATCTCCTCATCAATCTCAATTCCCAAGCCATGCCCCGTCGGAGCCTTGACGTGACCGCCTTCTAGATCAAAAACACTCGGATTCTTGAGATACGTCAAGAGATCAATATCTCCGGCCTCCGTGTTGTAATGCATACCCAAGCTCATCTCCAAAATGGCAAAGTTCGGTGATGACAACGCTACTTGAACCGAAGCAGCAAATGCAACAGGTCCAAGCGGACAGTGAGGCGCAATCGCGACATCATAAGCTTCAGCCATAGTAGCTATACGCTTCGTTTCAGAAATACCGCCTGCGTGCGCGATGTCAGGTTGTAGAATATCCACGCTTGAATCTTCCAGGAATCGCTTAATATCCCATCGTGTATACAAGCGCTCACCGAAGGCAATCGGGATGACTGTTTGGTCAGATAGCTTCTTGATAGCCTCGGGATGTTCGACGAGAATAGGTTCCTCGATAAAAAGAGGTCTGTGAGGTTCAAGAGCTCGTGCAAGTTGCTTCGCCATTGCTTTATGACACCTTCCGTGAAAGTCAAGACCCGCGTCGAGACCTAATGCCTTGACCTGTTTGAGGCGCTCGACGGTGCTGTCGAGGGCGGACGGGGAGTCAATCCAGCCTAGATCTTCTGTGGCGTTCATCTTGACGCATGTGAGACCTTGCTCAAGGCGCTTCTTTCTGCGCGTTCTTAGTATAGGCTGGAGACTGGGGTTGGTATTGGTACGTACGCAGCTGCTTCGATATCTGATGGTCTATCACCGCCGATCCAGCAGTACACTTGGACTTTGTTGCGGACCTTGCCGCCGAGAAGCTCGTAGATGGGTACCTTCAAATTGCGACCTGTTCATGTTAGCTTCAGGCTGCCCCATAGCGTGGTGTCTGTAATCACCTTTCAAATCCCATAATGCGATGTCAATGCCTGAAATGGCTGACATGAATACTGGCCCGCCGCGGTAGAACCCATGACGCCAGAAGGTTTGCCAGATGTTTTCGATATCACTACCATGTCCATCAATAACTGTTCATCAAGTGTCTCCAGGATACCAATACTTACTTTGCTTCCTGTCCAATAATCCGTGGAATCATCTCATCCAAACATCCCTCAACAGCAAGATCATGTCCCTCAAGCGTAGCTTCACCCCATCCATACTGTCCATTCTCATCAACGACCTTGACCATCAGCCATCGCGGCTTAACACGGTAATACTTGACAGAAGTGATCTTGGCCATTGTTGCTGATGGGTGAGACCTGGCCAGACACGAATTTCCCCGACTTTTTAACCGTCATGACTCGGCTTCCCCGCCGGCTAACACGACATCGTCAGATTTGATCCCGGAACCCCCACGCGCAAAAGCCGGTTCTGTGGCCCCCACGAACTAAAGAACTACGTAAATCTGGGGTAACGAGCCGCACGATGCAGGGTTTATTTCCATGCTGTGCCTCGGGGGAAGCCGTGTTTTTCCACCATAGTTAGTTGGTCACATTGGCATGAGCTCCATGGCGCCCAGAAACGTTGTTCTCTCCCGAGTCAGTCACAGGAGGCCCCACGTTCTCTTCAGCCATGAAGTGATCTGGATGAGTCCGGAGCCTTTCTCTTAGAGCTTTAGGTTTCACTGCACAAAGATAAATTGGAAAGAGTTGCAGGAACATGGCGGTAGTGATTGATTGACTTCTTAAAGGACCTAGAGTACACAGTAATCTCGAACTTCTGGATTCTATCGTCCCATCCATCCACCATCAACAGTAACCAGCTCCCCAGAAACATACAAACTCCCCCTCCCCGCCAAAAACACCGTAACCCCCTTGAAATCCTCCGGACATCCCCATCTCCCCGCCGGAATCCTCGACAAAATACTCTCCGCCCTCTTCTCATCATTAATCAGCGCCTCATTCATATCCGTAGCAACATACCCCGGCGCAACAGCATTCACATTAACACCCTGACTCGCCCACTCGTTACTCAACGCCTTTGTAAGCTGTGCGATCCCTCCTTTTGCTGCTGCATACGCAGGGACAGTAAGACCGCCTTGGAAGCTGACGAGTGATGCGACGTTGATGATGCTTCCTCGATGGCCGCTGGAGTCGGGGCTGCGGGTTAGCATGTATGAGCCTAGATCGCGACATAAAGTCCAGACTGTGCGGAGGTTGACTTGGAGGACTTCATCCCAGTCGCTCATGGGGAATTGATGGGCGGGGTGTCGTCGTTGGATTCCGGCGCAGGTTATCAGGATGCTGATGTCGTGACCGTCGGCGAGGATGCGTTTGCTGAGATTTTCGACTTGTTCTTGATTGCTAAGGTCTGCGGTGTATACGAAAGCCTGTCGTCCAAGCTTTTCAATCAATATCTTGGTCTCCATGTTTCTTTCGTCTCTCTTGATGATGGTGTCAGACAGTCTAGCGGGTTACAAAGAGAGGGAAGACTTACCTGCACCAGGATGATATCTGCGCCTGCTTCTGCAAGTGATAGGGCCATAGCCTGACCGATGCCTCTCGTCCCACCAGTGACAACAGCCTTATGGCCCTTTAATGAAAACAGAGATTCCAAGATGCTGGTCATGATTACAAGTGATGGAAGGCACTCTGCGAAGATGTATGTGATGCGGTAGCCCAAAACTTCAATTACTCTTCGAATAACAGTCCACGAACTACACCTCAGATTTAGACATCAAACCAACCCCAGAACCATGAAGTCAGTAACTTGTCATCTCGTGCGACCCCCACGTCGGCCCGACTCTGCTGTCGGCATTCTATCCGTGTCTAAACGATGATCATCTGCGGGGAAGACTCTGGGGTAATGCTCCTTCAATGGCATTCTAGGCAGACTTGCACGTCGGACAATAAACACGGGGGAGACAGTGAGTTTCGATGAGAAACGTGGGGGGTTACTGAGACGGGCGCAGGTACGGTTTAATGCCGTCGGTCCATCGTCATTTTGAGCTTAGCTGGGATTTGGGTCGGAACCGCTGACCTACTGGCGTTTGAGCGTGGGGGTAAGCCGATTGACATCCAGCATTCCTGCTAGGCCCTGCGGTAAGTGAATGAGGAACTGAACGAAGGTGAACGACCATCCATCCAATCATAATTGCCCTGTTCTTGCTGTTGCCTTGTTGATCCCTAACCTGTACTCGCTCCACCAGTCAGATCACTCGGAGCTGTCAAAGGCATATATTCCTTTAATACTGAATAAGATCTCTAAAGAATTAAGAAAAATATTTACCTCTGGTTTTTGTTTGTATTGTGACTCACAGCTAAAAGTTTAGGTAATTGGCTCGTCCCATCGCATTTGCAAGAGTTCGTGGTGATGTTCCGATATTGCAATTAGACGCTATTTACAGTCAACACAAATATCACATTTTGATACAACAGGATTCGTAAATTAAAGCCCTCGCAATGAATCTACCATCTCCGCCGTCCTTAACGTCATTCTATGAACAACTCAAGGTTACCTCGACAGCCTGCAATTGCTTGCATCATGAGAGTGACAACAGGAACTTTGCCTTGAGACTTGTTTAAATACCATGTACAGTCCTCCCTAGACAGCCCCTAGTCATTTTACATTGAACACGTAATAATTTACAGAAACAAAAACGCGAAAGTCAGTGTATGGACCAAAAATGTGAAGTTCAAGGCATCATGGTAGTCTTCGATTGCCACAGTTTCTCGGGTAGACAGTGCGCCGCACTCAACCACTCGCATACCCACGTCAAACATCTTCAGCTGCAACCAAGTGCTTCAGATCGTTGGATATCTTCCAGGATCAATGGTTAAGTCACTCGATGGGACGATGCGTGCCCCCAATGTAACATCTTCAAGCCTTTCACATGCAATCAATCCATCTCGCTACCTTCAACTTCTGCAGGGGATAGACACCAGCCAGGCCGCTTAAGCCTGAACTAAACAGAAACCTCTTTAATAAGCCGCAATTATGCGCATCTCCATGGCTAGAGATGGAAGCATGAGGCTTTACAGGGGAAATCTAAGACATGCACCATGCCGGGTCGACAGTCAACCAGACTAAAAGCGGGTCAAAGCTCTCAGGCTCGGATCCGAATGGTTGCAGTGAAGGGCAAAGAAAGATCTGAGATAACAACGCGGTCCAGATCATACGAGAAGAATATCACAAGGGAAGACAGTTGTAGCAGCTGAAGATGAGGAGCGGCTTTTGAACGAGACCCCCACGTCAATTGCCGACGGGTGAGGTCAATTGCCATCAAGTTCATCAGGAGCATGATCAGCGGTGATGTGAACGGTTTTCAGGGCATTTTCAGCAGAGGGGCACTAATTCCGCTCAAGCGGCAGTGCTCGACAGGGCATCAATTCAACGCAGTCTCTGTCTGTCGGAGCCATTATCAACGCTGCAATGCAAGATCCAATGGAAGTCTCAACAATTCCGAGATTTATTTCCAATTGCCGAACGAGATCAGATGCAAACAGCCCAGATCTTCCCCCCACACAAAGTCTCCTTGCGATGCACATTCACATTCACTCAGGTTGACAGTCAACCACACCGCGGTACACTTCCGGCCAAATCCCCATTTCTTTCTCCGCATCGTCAACCCCCACGTGCCAATAATGACGTTGGTCCTCAGACCCAAAACCACCAAATTCCGCTAAGCTTCGGCAATACAAACCACACGAACAAGCAAGGTTTGGACCATGACTCGCCATTCCCTACCTTTGAGGAGTAACGATCTACCATGGAATTTCACCGCTCGTCACAAACCCCGCTACCGTCCACAAATCCCCCAGATTCTCGCTCTTCCCCAGACTCGCTTCTACTCGCGTGGGGGGAACCAAGCCTCTAAACTCTATGTCATTGAGACTAACGGTCTTCCCGTCGACCGGTGAAAGTAGCTAAAAGGATAAGAAGGTCGTTGTTTCTTCTCACTTTGAGATCTGCATCCCTCATCCATTCATCACTCCATCAGCACAATGTCTAATTTGAAGGGCGACGATACTCCCTCTCAACAACACGCCGAAGATGTTGAGTCTCAGATCGCGAAGCCGGATCTTCATCCTCAGAATGGCGATGCTGTCGCTCAGATGATTGGTGCTCAGCACATTGAAGTCACCGAAGAAGACGTGCGTTGCCTGTCTCCCTTTACTGCTTCAACCAACTAACTCTCATCTAGAATAAACGCCTCCGCCGAAAGACCGACAAACACGTCCTCTCCATCCTCGTCTGGGTGTATTTCCTCCAAATCCTCGATAAATCCGTCCTCGGCTACGGCGCAGTATGGGGTATGCGCGAAGACACCAACCTCAGCGGAAACGAATACTCCATGGTCTCCTCCATGGCGCCCATCGCACAACTCGTCTGGCTCCCCTTCTCCTCGTGGCTGATGGTCAAGATTCCCCATCGTATTTTTATGGCTAGTCTCGTGTTTGGCTGGGGTGCTGCGCAGACGTGCATGGCCGCTTGTACTACCTACCAGGGCCTTCTTGCGACGCGTTTCTTGCTCGGTTTGTTTGAGGCTGCGTGCTTGCCGCTGTTTTCGGTCATTACGTCGCAGTGGTATAGACGTGCTGAGCAGCCAATGCGGGTTGCTTGTTGGTATGGAACTAATGGTCTTGCGAATATGTTTGCTGCTGCGCTTTCGTTTGGCCTGGGTCAAATCAACGGCTCGCTTGCATCGTGGCGCATTCTGTTCCTTTTTGCAGGCCTCATCACCGTTCTTACTGCACCAGTTGTGTACTGGGTCCTTGACAACGACATTCCTTCTGCGCGCTTCTTGACCGAGCATGAGAAGCTGCAGACTATAGAACGTCTGCGTGCCAATCAGACTGGTACTGGAAGTCGCAACTTTATCTGGAAGCAAGCCTTTGAGGCTCTCATTGAACCCAAGACTTGGCTCTTCATCAGCATGGCTTTGTGTCTCAATGTCACTGCTGCTGTGACCAACACCTTTGGTCCTATCATCGTTGGTGGCTTCGGCTTCGATAAGGGCGTTACATCGCTTCTCAACATTCCCTTCGGCGCCGTGCAACTCCTCGTCATCTTCCCCGCCTCATACCTCGCACATCGATACCGCGTCAAGTCCGTCTTCCTCATCGCCGTCATGCTCCCCGTCCTCGCAGGAGCAGTCATGCTTCACCAACTCAACCGCGATCACGTCGCTCCTCTCCTCGCAGCATACTACATGCTCGCTTTCCTCTTCGGTGGCAATCCCCTCATCGTGTCTTGGATGATCTCCAACATCGCTGGTACCACCAAGAAGTCGGTCATCATGTCGCTGTACAACATTGGTGTTTCAGCTGGTAACATCATCGGGCCTTTGCTCTTTAGCTCCAAGGACGCGCCGTACTATAAGCCTGGTCTTACAAAGACTATGGGTATTACTGGTGCTTTAATTGGCGTTATTCTATTGCAGTTGGTCAATCTTATGTTCTTGAATAAGATGCAGGAGAGGAAGAGAGTCAAGAATGGTAAGCCTGCTAAGATTAGGGATTTGAGTATGGAGCATCACTATGTAGCGAGTCCCCAGGACAATGATGAGGATGGTCTGGGACAGAATGCCTTCATGGACCTTACTGATTCCAAGAACGATGAGTTTGTCTATGTCTACTGAGTGTTGGCGCGAAGTATTCAGTTAAATAATAGTTACCAAGATAGCGTGTTAGTTGTTAATTTATGTGTTGATCTACTCATGTTTCTCTCAATGAATACAAAAGAATCTGCTGGCCACATAAGCTCGTCTTCGCGGTTTTCTGGCAGTGCATTCTATTGTATGTGACCTTTGAATTCCATGTGCCTTCGACTATTCGCTCGGTGTAGATGCATTCACGATTAGACCTACATCGAAGTCTACATTATAAAGTCTTTGCCTTCGGTTGCTGCTTGGGTATCTGGGTGTAATGTACGCCAATTCAGCTGCTACGTTCAAGTTGCTTTGGCCTCATTAACCAGTCCGGGACCCAAGCCGTGAGCAGCAATAAAGTCACGATTGACTACTCTTAAGGCTATCTTGGCACCGCATGGTTAGGGAATAGTTCGACTTGCAACAAGGCAAATGAACACCAGAGAAGAATAAAGGCGTATCAAAGACAATAGATGTACTAAGGGTATACCATTCGACTATATACTCCACGAACCTCATAAAATACTAATCGTGAAACCTGCTGGCCAAGTAACCAACATCGGTCATGAGACATATAATTCCAGCTCCAGCACCTAACTATCCAGACCCAACGTTACTGCATGGTGAACTGATAGACACATTTAATCGGAGTTGAAGGTCAGTTCAGCACGCTCAATGATGGGCGGGGGCTTGACAACACCCTTCTTGCGGAGGATGTGTCGCTTGAAGAAGTATGGAAGCCAAACGCGGGTCTCGTAAGAGATGAACTGCTTGGTGGGAACAGAAAAGACCTCTGTTATATCATTAGCAACGGCATGATGAAACCAGGGTTTGATGACTTACGGTCAAGTTCCTCGAGGGTCAGTTGCTTGGTCTCACGGACGAAGCAGAAAATCATGCCCCAGGCAATCAGATTAAGTCCGGCATAGAAACCGACTGGATTATGTTAGTTAAGACCCAACGAAACGGGAAACTGAGG